TTACTCATTTGTGGGTGGTCCCCTGATATATTTTCTAATAATCTCCTGTCATATAGCTACAATAAATAGGTGTATCTTAATGCAAACAAACTGCAAACAGAAAATCTTGTGTATATAAATAGGTACAAAACTCAGCCTGATGAGAAATTGAGACTTTATCTGCATGGCTTTGATTTAGGATCTTCCAAATCTGCCCACGGGTGTTCCAGTGTGATGGTGGACATTTTAGGAGACAGAGCAGCAGGCTGTAGAGATCTAGTTGTGTTCAGAGTCATGGAGAGTTGCACTTCTATACATGAAGGATGTACAAGGTCAAACCATCTCCCAAGAAACTCATCCTTTAGATACTCAGGAAAAAGGGAAGAGCACCTTTCCCTTGGTATGCAAAGCCCAACTCAGCAGAAAGTCCATCTCTCCAGTTCTGAGGGTTATTGGTGCCACAGCAATGGAGACACAGAGAGAGGGAACACTTCCTTCCAGTTTTCAGGGTTTTTCTGGGATCAGTCATCATATCAGCAAGAAAGAACGGCAAGTGAGGAGCTGTGACATGCAACACATCATTCATTATGTTTGCATGCTAAAAATGCATCCTTCACTTCAGATTGCTCTTTCCTTCTCGTTTATGCCAAGCCTGGGACACAAATCTGAGGTGGTTGTTGACCATGTTCCCATCCATCCCATGGTGAAGAAGCTGCAGTCTGTGTGGCTGGCCAGGCAGGCAGCAAACACCCCAGAGCTCTGACAAAGTGGGCAGAGGAACCACTGACTTCAAAACAACCACTGTCCACCAAGGAATCATTCCAAATGAGCTTATTGCAGGTGTCAAACCAGAGCTGGAATGGGATACAAAGCACCTCCCATGGCATGTTTAAAATCAATCCTGTCAATAAAAAGTGTTTTCCTTTTTCATGATCTTCATCCTGAATTTTTTCCAAAGTGTATATTGATAAATATTTGGGGGACACAGTCTCTTTCATGCACCAGATAATGATCTCCAAGCCTAAAACGTGTATTGGATTATGTTCTCTGGCTATGACTGAGGCAGATAAGAAGTTATTCCCCCTAACTTGGACTGTGCACAGCTACCCCCACCCACATTATAACATCCTTTTCAGTCTCAGTGCAGCAACACAGCTGTTTCTCAAAATAATCCAGGGAAAGAGAGTTAAACCCTTTTGGACTGATCGGGTAATTTTTGGTAAACTTGATCAGAGAGTGATAACCTTGCAATCAGAGTTCCACACCAGGAGGCTGGGAGGCCACAGGGAGGGGAAATGGCAAGAGGCTGGCAGAAGAAAATCCTCCCTGTGTCTCTGCAGCCATTATTGTTCCCCTGATCAAAATGCACTTCATGCTGGCAGGGCTCAGTGCCCATCCCAGATGACAGGCCAGGCTGACAGGGGTCCATCCTACACCCACGTTGTGCCAGCAGCAGCCTGGGAACACGAGGGGCAGGCCAGGCAGTTGGGTGCAGGACACACAGCCAAAGGCCTCACAGGGCCATTATTCTGGGGCAGCTGTGTTTGCCTCTGCAGCATTGCTTATGCAAAGGAACAACTTCAGAAGATGTGACCAGCTCTTGTATTTCATTTTTGTGTTTACATGGGCAAAACACTAAAGGCTATAAATAACATTTTTCAATATTTATCTTTCCCCCTTTGAAGGCTTCTCCAGGGACTTTAGACTCTCCCTTAGCACTGTTAGGCAATTAAAATAATAATAATAAATCAAATGCCACCCTTCTCACCCAGTGGGGATCTCCCCCAAGTTCTCTGAGTTTCCTGTGTTTTTCCCTTTATGTAAATAGAAAAGCATCCCACTGTTTAAATTCAGCCCTTTGGTTGGTGTTTGGAGTTTGCAGAGCAGGGAGGCACTGGAACACCAGCTGATATCAAAAGAGAACTCTGCATCACACAACTGTCTGATTCCAGCAGCCAGCAAATCCCTCCTGGCATTTATCTGACTCATCTTTACTCTTTGGAGAATTCTGCAGAGGTGCCAAAGCTTTGGCAACCATCGCCCTTCTCAGTCCCACTGCCTATAAATACTTAATCAAGAAGGAACAATTTGCCACAAACTGCTCATGCTGACACTCAGTGTAGCACCATAGTGATTTGGCTTTATTAACTAACCTCTAAATATTGATCTGTGTCAGAAAATAAAGAAAAATACAGATTTATCTGTAGTTACAGTAATGACAGTTTAGACCAGAAATTGGAAAGGACCTCATTATAAGATATTTAAAATATTAATTTGCAGAGGAGAGAGCGTAAGTTAGACGCCTAACTGGCTGCTTGTAGTAGTCACACAGGTCTAGTAAAAACCCGCATCAGAAACCTGACAACCTCTAGAAACTTAGATGGCTTTGGAAAACAGATCTCCATCAGGCATTTTCAGTATAAGCAGCACAGAGTTGCACACCCCTGCACAAAAACCTCCTAGATACTACAGAATATTTGTGTCACAAACCCAGTTTCATTTACCCTCTCACATCACGGCTGACTTGCCTTCCTTCAACAGTTGAACATATCCAAATTTGCCTAATGAGTTACACATTTCTGTTGCTAACCACAATGATGTGCATTGGCTGTGAGATGCAACTCAGCTTGGGAAAAGAGTTTGTATCAGTTGACCAAGAAACAGGATGATTTGAGCACCATTCTCCAAACTCCAGGGGTATATTCCTCTTATCTGACAACCTCTTCCTTTGCTGAAACACACAAGTGTGTGAAATGAGTGAATTCTGGCAGCCAGCACATCACTTGTTGGATATCCTTCCTTCTGAAGAACGACTGGGGGTGATTTATATGGAACAAACAAGGAAAAAATACATTGGAAGACTTGGAATCCCTCAGTCCACATTAGCATTCCCTTCCTTTTCTCTCAACAGGGCTTTTATTTAATACTATGCTTTATCTCCTCTCTTTGTGTTTCACGCTCTACATAAGAACACTTTTGATTCCAAGACAGGAAGTGATTTGGGTGGATAAACATTGCCAGAGCCCATCATCTCTCCACAAATCACCCAGTTTTTATAGCATAATGGTTTCATGAAATAAGCAGGATCCTAAAACCGTACTGAAATGAGGCTTCTAAATATTTCCTCCTGTGAAGCCATAAAGTTTGATAAATCAGGCTGCAAAACTTCCCTGTAGTATTTGCCTCTCAAACCCAATACTCAGCAGACATACCTCAAACACAGACGTGGGTTACAAAAGGTGTTTTTCTAAAATGGTCTGTTTTTACCCACACAGTCATCATTCCTACAGGAGGGAACACACTAATATATATATTTAAAAAAAGTCCACTGAAACTTCAGCTGAACTTTTGACTTAAAAAGCACCTGATGTTAAATATGTAGGTGGTAGAGCAAAGTACCTTTTCCAATTAAAGAGATTCCTTTTGGGGTTTGCTAGCCCTCAGACGCTCATGAGAAAGGAGTCACACAGTATATTGTGTCAAAACTCTACTCTTGCTCTTTCCACCCTTCAGTTCAGCAAATGACTGCCCACCTGTTCGGCACCTAATGGAGTTCAAGCCTTAATCCATCCCATGTGCCCTCCTGGCACAACATCCATTGAAATGGGTGGAAGGAACACCAGCTTGTTTATTGGATCAGAACGCAGGCTGCATTAAAATGGAGGCTCTTCAATGAAACCTGAGCCTGCTGCTGGCTGGCTCCTGTTTGCCACACCTCTCCCTGACACCCCAATCCCACCACTGTCATATCTAAAGCCAAGGTGGCAAATCCTTGCCCAAGGCCCTGGGCTTTATTCCCCTTTCTGGCACACACATTGCTTCTCTCTCTTTTCTTTCATCCTTCTAAAATTTCCAAGTGGGCTTGGTTTTATAGCCCCCGAGGGGGATCCTAATGGCTCCAGAAGAATCTTCTTAAAGGGCTTGATCCACACCCCAAGGGAGTGCTTATCCCAGTGAACGCTGATCATGCCAGGAGGGCACGGTGTCATGGCCATGGGGAATCCCAGCCTAAGCCCTGCCTGCTCTGTCCTTTACTCCCTGAAGCTGTGGCTGCTCCTCAGCCACCTGCAGCTGCTGTCCCCGGGGTTCCACCCGGGGGTTATCAGAGCAAGGAGCACACCCTGTCAGACAGGTTTAACCCCTCCCCCTCCTGAGCTCTGGGCAGCACAGCCCCAGTTCTGCCAAAACTCAGGGAGACACCTCAGTGGCAAAAATCCTCACCTGCTATTCCAAAGCATTTAGAGTGTTGTTGAACAGCACTGCTGGACTTCAGTGGGAAGCTCTCCTGGATATGAGGGCTGTCTTTGTCACTGTCCAGGGGTTTCTAGCATTTAGCTGGTCACTAAGTTATCCTGCCCCTCAAAACAGCTTTGTTTCAGCAGAGAGGCATTTTTATGGAAAACTATTCTGAAATCCAAACCCTTTATATTAATGAAATCACTGCCAGTGTCATTTTAGTTTTATAAAAACACATAAACATCCTTTAGCAGATGGGGCAGGATCTCTCAACTCCTGTGGTTACAGTGATGCTGTTACAAGTGGTTAAGAAATCTTTTCTATTTTTTTCCATGCCAAGAAATCCCTGCCACTGATGCACTCACAAGTCCATTAGTGGGAGCACTGCAAAGCCACGGTCCTGGTGAAATGATGATGATAAATAAGAATTACTGACACCAGTAGTTAACTAAACACAGGAAAAGATACCAAATATCTTACAAACACCTTACTCTAATTATTGAAGAGAATGCATTCCACATCTAGCTGGGTAGGAGTTGGAAACCCTACTTGTGGCCCTCTACTCATTCATTCCTTTGAGTATAGAAGCACCTCTAAAAACTCTTTGCTCACCAGGTCAGAAGAGTTTAAGAAATGGAAAGACACCAGCAAGGTTAATAAAAATCACCAGCCAGATAAAGCTTTGAACAACCAAGAAACGTTGTAGAACCATGAAGAAGACAAAGCAATTAATTTTCATTACCTTTTTTTAGCATTCTGCGGGGACAGTGCTGGAAAATGCTTCCATATTAAACCAAGAACAACAGTTTTCACTTTTCCATGAAATAGACCCCGAGCTGGCAGGCTTTTCTGCTCACAACAACACGTAGCTTTGCACCCAAAAGCTTGCACAAAGCTTCCTTCACAAAGGAAACACTGGCCAAAAGGACATCAGCTTACATACCCTGTGATTATATCTTAAATATAACTGCCTTGCTCATGGGCATTTCACCAAAGCTGCCAAGAACTAAGATGATCTCAATTAAATATTCAAGCCTATAATGCACAGCATCAGAATTCTCATTTCTCCCAGTGTTCTCTGTTATGAGAGTTACCTTTTTGGCTTTCACATCAGTTAAAGCAGACACCTGGAATTTCACTGAGAGTGAAAGGAAGGCCAGTACCTTATTAACAACCCCATACATAACTTTATTTCAGTGGTGTCAAGACTTTCTTTCCATGGGCTATGAATGGCAATCATCTACATAGAGATGAAGATGTGTGGAAAAATATCAGATCCTCAAGTACAGAATAATTTTCTTTTTTTGGACAGGTTTCTAAACAGGATGTATTTTCAAAATTTGGTCAATAACTTGCTTTCCCTGCAGTTTATTACCAGTATTCATCACTAAACAAGAAAAAAGTATTTTGACAAAAATGGGAGAACATAGAACACGTAATTTCATTTTATAACAACTTATCCTTTTTTTTTTTTTTCTCAAGTCATTACGGTGTGATTTACCTGCAGGCCCACATAAGATGGATAATGTGCTGAAGGAAGAGCATGGAGCACAGATAAAACTGGAGCTCGTAAAATTTTGCTTTGGGAAGCAGCAAAAATTTTCACAGGCAAGTAATCTGAATTTTGCTGCAGTCTAGAAACACCTGTAAAACAGTAAAGATGATTTATGAGAGAAGTATTTTCCTGAAAACGGCAGACAGGGATGGCGACACACTTCTAGTGTAGGAGGAGGTGAACTCCCTCCTTACAGTAGCTGTGGGTCAGGAATTCTGATTTGGATACATACCAGACCCAACGCTTTATTAAAAAGAAAAGAAAAGAAAAGAAAAGAAAAGAAAAGAAAAGAAAAGAAAAGAAAAGAAAAGAAAAGAAAAGAAAAGAAAAGAAAAGAAAAGAAAAGAAAAGAAAAGAAAAGAAAAGAAAAGAAAAGAAAATCCACCAGACCAAAACCCCTCTTAGCATATAATTTTTCCTTCGTCTACTACAATGACAAGCACCAATATTTTTTGGGGCTACTTTCCATTTGTAGTAGGTGAGTAATTAAGTGCTTATTACCTCAATAATAATTTACACCTGTGTGCCGGGGCGGGGCATTCTCCTGAACTACTCTGAGAGGCTTTTTCCCCCAGTTTTGCTGTTCCTGTGTGAATTTTCTTCTCTCTCACCATCCCACCACGTTCCACGTAACTCTCTTTCAAACCCACCACCAAACCCCAGGCAACCACCTCAAACCTTCGGGAAAACTCCAAACCCTCCCTCACCTTCCCCTCGGCCGCGACTTGGGAAAAATGAACGGGGAAGAAGCGGGAGCACTACTGGGCTGGTTTTGTTAAAATCGCCACAGAAATACAACTGCAAAACGTGTTTAAAAAGAGCAGGATCAGCTTCTGTCCCCGCTTTCCCTCAGCAACCCCTCGCGTCCCCGCGGGGGAAGGGGAGCCAGCCACGCTCCCATCTCCAGCACACGCTGAAGGGCTCTGAATTCGCTCCAGCCTCAACTCCTGCGCCCTTTCTCTGAGCAGATACAGTGAGGGTGTCGATCGTAACCTGCTTTGCACTGAAACGAAGCCGGTACCTCTGGAAGGGAGGTCACTGCTCAGTGCATGGGAAATCGGGGCCGAGTCTGGGGGAGCCGGGCGAGAGGGCACGACCTGGTCCTTTCCCTCCCTCTGTGCCAGGAAGCAATGCTTCGGAGGTGGAAGGATTCCTTCCTTAAGGGCTTTTCATGCCTTCCTTGGGCAGAACAGCTCTGCAGGAGACCATTAAACAGCTCTGCCCAAGCTCAACACGGGGGTGTCCCCAGCAGCCAACAGAGCCCCCTCAGGTGTCCCCGCTGGGGACAGCCGGCAACCCAGGGCTGGCAGAAACCTCTTCTTCTCACTTGGGTGAAGCTGGAGATATTATACCTTGAGAACTGAGGCTTCCAACCACCCTCTTTAGTTTTTCTCGGCGCCTGAAAGCACCTGAGGGGCGCGAGGGGGAGGTAAAGGGCGCGCCGGGAAGTGGGGGAAGTTATAACACGACCGATAGTATAGATTGTCAGGTTCCTCGTACACTGAAGGCTTAGAGGGAACCTCCGAAAAGAAGTTTAAAATTCCACAAGGTTATTCCGGCTTCCATACAACCAGCAAATTTAAACTTCCCTCAGCAGCGCTTCGCGCCGGCTCGTGACCCCCGGCGCTCCTGAGGGGCGGGAAGGGGGGGGGGGGCAGCTTTAAAGCCTAACGGTAGGGTAGATATTCGAGTTCCTTGTACACAGAAGGATTAGACGGAATCTTTGAAAGCACAACTCAACACGGTTATTCCAGCTTCACTACAACTGGCAAGTGTAACCTCCCCCAGCAGCGCCTCACGCCGGCTCGTGGTCCTCGGCGACCCCGAGGGGCGAGAAAAGCGTGCGCGCACCTGAGGGGGCCGCGGCGGGGCGTGGGGGGAGTTATAAATCCTGACGATAGTAGATATTCGAGTTCGTTGTATACCGAAGGCTTAGACGGAGCGTTTGAAAACAAAAATCAGCGAGGTTATTCCGGCTTGGCTGTAACCGGCGAACGCAACCTGCCTCAGCAGCGCCTCGCGCCCCCCCCGGCCCTCCTGAGAGGAGGAACAGGCGCGCGGGAGGCGGCCGCCCTCCGGTCACCGAGACCGGACGCCCACCCTCTTCCCTCGCCACCTCCACGGAGGCACCGCCTCTCGGGAGACCGTGCCGGGGACAGGGACACGGACACCGACACCGAGGACCCCCCGACCCTCTGCCCGCGTGCCTCTCCCCCAGCCCGCCCTGGCGCCTGCGCGCCGCGCTCCCGCCTCTCGCCACAGCGGCCCGGGCGCGGCCCCGCCCCCCGCGCGCGGCGCGCAGGCGCGGCGGGAGGGCGGGGGGCCGGCGATGAGCGTCCTGCTGCCCAACATGGCGGACTTCGACACGATCTACGAGCTGGAGGAGGAGGACGAGGAGCAGGACGAGCCCGAGCCCGTGGTGCGCAGCCAGGAGCTGCCGCGGCCCCGCGACGCGCCCGACCCCGTGGCGGTGCGGGGCGCCGGGCACATCACCGTGTAAGGAAGGAGCGCGGGCAGCGTGGCGGGCCGGCGTGGCGGGCGGGAGCGCCGGGAGCGTGAGGGCAGCGGCAGCTCCGTGCCCGGCCCTGGCGGCCCCGACCGCCCCTCAGCGCGGGGCCGCGCTGCCCTGCGCCCCCGGCACCCGCTCCCTGCGGGGAACTGTGCTCCTAGCGCCTGGGAACGTGGGACTCGGTGTTCCCGCAGCCCCAGGCAGCCCCCGGCCGTGAATGAACGGCGGGAATTGGCTCTGGATGCGGAGGTGGATCAGCCCTCCCTGGGGCTCCGCTTTACCCAAGCGATTTGTTCGATAAAAAGCAAAGTCCGGGCGCTGCGAGGACGGGCAGCCCATTCAGCCCATGTCGCTGTGCCCCAGCGGAGCCCCCTCACTGCACTGCAGAGCAGGCTCGGCGCTGGGCTGGGCTTCATCTGCTCCAAACTTCCTTTTGAGTTGGGCTCAGATTGGGTGTTTTTATCACGGGAACACAGCGTGAGCCGGAATGTTTGCTGCTCACTTCAGCATTGGACAGGAGATGAGCAAGCTGTGTTTCCTCAGCTGTAATGTTTCCTCGTAGGGATCTCTTTAAACGTTCTTACTCCTGTTAACAGAGCCAAGCACATCCCTAACAAGCTGTTGGTTGTTACACTGATGTTCGTGGCAGGGAGGGAGGTGCTGAAGGTTCTGTGTTGCAGAGGCCCATCTCGTGTTGCTTTGGCCCTGTCTTTGGATTGCATAAAATGCAGGTTTCTCTCTGTAAATAGGTGCAGTGTGATCTCTGCAATGACAGCACTGGGTGGGGAAGGCTCTCCCATCCCAAGGGAACCAGTGTTGGATGTGGTGCTGTGTCCTCCTGTAAGGCTGATTCAGGTTTGCATGGAGCTGGTGCCAGTGGGGGGTTGCTGTGCTGCATCACAGTGCATTTGCTGTGCTGATGGAATTTTCCTCTGCCCTGACCCCAGATAGCTAGTGGCCTCACTGAAGGAGAGGTGGAACGTAAACAGGGTTGTCAGAATGCTATAGACCCCTCTTAGGAGTTCTCTGGAACAAACATTACACACTTGTTTGCTTTGTCCTCTGTGCTGCTCTCTGTGTGCCAGTGATGTTCCTCAGAGCTCCTGCTTGGCTCCAACACCTCTTGGGGATGGGCAGGAGCATCTCCCAGAACTGGGGGTGTCTCCATCAAAAGAAAGCAGTACTTGTCAGGGGAAATCCTGAGCTACCCTTGCAGCCACCTCAGCTGAACCCCTTCCAACTCATTTTCCTTTTCTCCACCCCTCTCAGCTTTCCTCCTGTAATAGGTATCCCCACCTGTGTGGTAGAAGGCAGCTTTTAGCACCTCCTGATGTATTTTTGAATATCCTTAAACTAATAAAACCAGTTAGTAGATGTTACCAATAACATGCAAGTAAGCTTTGGACACTGCAGTAGGTAATCTGAACTCTCCTCTGAAAGGGGAACTGTTGTGCTTTGTGCCCACAGAGTCTGTGGTTAGTGTGTATCAGTGCTGAACTCTGCCACTTTTTGGTCGCACCGATGCTTTTGAAATCAGCCTGCTCCAATTACCGAGGTGGGATAGTCAGCCAGGAAAACTTGTGTTTGTTTCCTGAACCTCTCTGGAACAACTGCTGATAAAAGTTTCTGTCCTGACAAGCCAAGCACTATTAAAGAGAACCAGTTATCTTTATAAAGCCATTGTTTCCCATTGTTTCAGATGCCTCCTGTTCTTCAGCTGTCTCTGCCTTTCTTGGATACTTTTGGAGTACAGAGAAGGGATAACTCTCAAATTCCAGGGTCATCTTCTGCTTCAGCTTTTCATGTACAGTTCTCTTATAAAACTCCCAAGTTGGGAGATTCAAACTCTGTGTTAGTGGTTATCCTTCCGCCCTCATCAGTGAGCTGCTCTCCTGACAGAGCTGTTCTGCAGCATCCAACAGGACTGAACATAAACTGAGGACCTTCCCAGGGTATTTAGCAGGATCTTGCTCTCTCCACTGACTTTTGCTAACCCAGCTCCCCCTGTGCATGGTAAGAGTGACCATGAAATGTGTATTTGTTTTATTTTCCTCGGAGAGAATGTATGTGAAAGTGGTTGGCAAAGTTTATTCTCATCTTGTTCAAGATTCTTTCTTTGAAAAAAAATAGCTCTCAGTCATATTTATTGTTTTCAGAAAGCTTTTGACTTTTAGCACAGGGAAATTAGTAGGTCCTAGTAAATGCCTTTGCTTCTGAAATTCCATTTTGATGAGTTATAAACCCCTTGTTTGCTGTTTCTGGCATAGTCAGTGGGACTCTGCTTGGTGTATCCAAATATCTCAACACAGGCATTTTTAGTGAGGACTGAGTCATCTGCTCAGCAAAGCAAAGACAATAACTTTCAGAAGCAGAGCAGTAAACAAACTGTAACTTGGTTATAAGGTTTTATTTATCCTATGTGATTTTTCCATATCGTTAAGTCCATGTGGATGGATGGAATGAGGTCATGGAATAGCCATTAAGCACTTTATTGCCCTTGGTATCCAGCCTGTGATTCCTGCTGAAGTCTGCACACCTCCTGGTTTTGGCTGCAAGTTAACTTTTGGTGTTCCACCCTGCTTTCTGGGGGAGGGCCCCACAGTCCAGGTGCTGATGAAAAGCTTGTTGTCATCTGCTGGGGAAAGGAGGGAAGAGCCACTTTGTGATGAGATGACGTTTGATTGTTATCTGATATTGCTCCATCTCCTGCATATTTCAAAGAGCCAGTGACCTCAGGCTCCCACTACTTACCAAAAACTTCATTTCCCAAAACATCATCCATGGGTAAGGACACTCTTGGATAGTTCTGTTGGCCCCACAGGAAAATACCCCAAATTAGGAAGAGAAATGCCAGCTGTTCCAGGGGATTTCAGCTCAGGGCTCTTGACGAATATCATCTTTACCTGGATACTCATTATTTATTAATTTCTTGATGAATCTCATCTTTATGCTGACAAAGCTGGGCTGATGCCTCAGAAAGAGCAGTGTGTGGGACCTGAGCTCCTCTGTCCTGGGGGGGTAAATGGAACCTGTATTGGGTGTGGGCAGAGCACCTGGAGAGCTTTACTGCTGCAGGCCAGCCAGGATGATTACTGCCTGTACAGCAGGGGAGAGAGGAGAAAGAAGCACTATTGAAGTCAAAATTAAAACCTGTAAAGATGTCCCTTCTAGATAGGAGGGTGTTTCCCAAAATCTTCTGGGCACGGGAAACCTGAGGTCCTGCTTTGTGAACTCACAGAACTTCATATTGTGGAACCTGTTGCAGGTGGGGTTTGCAGCTGGTGTTCCTTTCAGTCTGATTGGAGGGGTTTAGGGATGGATCTTCTTGCAGCTCCTTCAGGGAAGTTGTGTTCTCCCCACTTCACTGATGGGGGGAGATGAGGTGATGGCACTTGTCTGATGCCAGACATGCAATCAGGGAAGGAGGGACAGAGCTGCAAAGTGAGGTCATCCTAGTTCTGTTCCAGCCTGTAGGAAACAGTGCCTTGCTTTTCCAGATACTTGTCATGCAGTGAGAAAAGTGCAACCCAAGAATGTGGGTGACTGATCTGAATTTCTAAACGTTCCACTTTGGGCAGCTCTCACTGAGGAGTCAGAGAACTGGCCCAGAAATAAGTCACCACCAGCTGATGCTTTCAGGGACTTTAAGAACAGGTACCGGAATTGATTTGAGGCAGGGATTTTTAAATACACTGAATTTTAGGAAGCTTTGTAGGCCTGATCTTGCTAGATCACTAATCTGTTGGAGGAAGTCCAGTGAAGTTTATTATCTCTTGATCAGGAGTTTAAATCTTAACCTTTTTTCCATTAAATATTCTAATAACGCTTCAGTGCTTTCACAGAGCTGCTTGCAAAGCTGTACAACTGTATAACATCCTGCTTCACATCTTTTATTTCATTTAGTTCCTGAATCACCACCCCCTGCCCCACCTAGCAGGAGTTTCATATTTCTAAGCTGTGGTAAATAATCACAGGGCAGTGTGTGAAAGTGTTCCAGAGGCCATCAGTGGTGCTGCCCAAGTGCAGTATTTTAGTGTGGCATTCCTGTGTTCAGGGGGATCACAACTTTCACATCCTCGTAGCCCTTTGCAGGTGTCAGTGTGGCAACTGATGAAAGTCTTGGGTTTTAAACATGTTGCATGACATCTACATTCAGACAACGTAAGAAAATATATGGTGATCTTGCAATCTGAATCAGAATCGAAATCAGCAGTAATTTATCTTGTGCTTTATGGAAATTGGGGGTGCAGCGGGAATTTTAATGAGCACATGTGATCAGTGAGGTAAAAAACACTACCTGTGGCTTGGGAAGTGTTTGAACTAAGAGTTGTTGGAGGATCCTGGGACACTGCTGGCACATGTTTGCTTTTTTATTTTGTTTTTTCTTTCTTTTGCTGTCTCCTGGCCCCTGTAAGAGTCAGTGCTCTGGGAGAGGTGGCCCTTTTTATGATTTAGTGGAATTAGTCTGATGTTACATGGCTAGAGTAAATAATTCTGAGTATTACCTGGACTTTCCAGAAGTTCTTTTATTGTCTGATTGCTGCTCCTTTGGCATCATTTCAGGTGGTTTCTTTGCTGGTGCCCAGAGGAGTCTGTTCTCCTCAAAACAGCCTTGTGTGTGTTTTTCCTATTGCTAGTCTTTTCTCAGGTTTTTTAAAGATGGAAAGGATTACCCCATTGCTTTTCAAGCTTCCTTAAAACTAAATATATATTACAAAACTTAGAAGACTTCAGCTTAAAAAGAAAAGCTACAAAATGTGGAGGCTGACTTGGCAGGTTACATTCACAGAGAATGGAAATGTGCTATATTAGTAACCTTTGGGCTTGCCTAAAATCTCATTATTTTTACTGTTTTGGTGGGTTTTTGTCATGTTTTACACAACCAGTGCTCCAGTATGATGCTCTTGACAAGAGTCAAGGCTCTGAGGGAAATTATTCATTGCAGAACGCACTTGGCCTTCCCTGGTGTTGTTGGCAAACGTTTCAATGAGCTTGCTGGATTTCTAAAGCCAGCACGAGCTCTTCTGTTGTGCCTCTCTCTTCTTTAAGGTTGGTTTGACCTGTTTTGAGGGTGTCAGGGTGAGTTTTGGGGCCCTGTGCCCCTGCAGGTGCCCAGGGCTGTGAGTGATGCAGTGCTGGGCGCTGATGCCTCGTGGAATCTGTCCCTGCCCAGGGCGTGGAACCAGCTGAGCTTTAAGGTCCTGCCAATCCAAACCACAGCAAGTACTTTCCAGGTTTGTTCCTCCAGTAAAACATCAACACCAAACGTGTTTGTGCCCTTCTGTGGGGTTTTTGTCTTCTGTTAAACACAAACACTCAGGAGACAGTTCAGCAGAGCTGATGGTGGGCCTGATATCCAGTGTATTTAACTTTGCAGTTGTGACATGAAGCTCTGCTCAAACATCCAGCTGCTGAGGGCCAGCTGCTGCTGGCTTCTGTTAAATCACTCAACTGTGAGTGCCCAGGAGTTGTGGAGCTGGTGGGAACAGCTTTCCAAGCAATCCCAGTCCCTGTAGCTTCCCTGGTTGGAATGAACCCCTCCTGCTCGAAGCCCAGAACGCTGCAGTGAAGAGCAGCCACACTCAGACCTGTCTGAGACTTAATCTGCTTAAAGTTCACAGCTGTCAAACTGTTCTTCGTGGAGGCTCTAACATGTTTTGCATGAGACAGTTTAACTCAGTCCAAAGCAGTGTTTGAAACCCAGATGGTTATAAATTTCTAAGATGATGATGATGAATGGGTTCCTCATAATGAGCTTCATCTGTTGCATGTGGAACAATTGCATGAGTCAAAGGATTATTGAACACAGTAAAACTGGAATTTAACAGCTGGAGGGTTTTTTGTAAAGACAGCAAAGATTGAAACTTCCTGCCATCCAATTGTAACAGAATTTTTGCATTTTTTTGGGGACTTGGAGTTATTAAATAAGGCAACAAGCTGTATTTCTGTCTTAGAAATGACCTTATAAATGATACAGGAGACCTTATATAAACTGAGATGGAAAGCTCATGAAATGATGTGAATGTAAGGGCAAAAGAAATGAAGAGTTTTCTTTTTTTCTAAAGTTAAAAAAATCTTATTACATTTTTTGATTAAGGGAAACAAAGTAAGTTAGGTGGAATATATTTTGTTTGTCTCTTTTGTTTTCAAGGTTTGGCTTGAGCAACAAGTTTGATACAGAATTTCCTTCTGTTCTGACAGGGAAGGTAAGTGTGAGATTAAACTGTTCTTTTTCCATGGGAAGATGCAGTGCATCCAGTGGTTTGTGTTAGATCCATGCTCATCACCCCACTAGAGGTTGTTAACTCTGCCTGTGTGAACCAGCTGGTTGCTGACCAGTCCCTGCAGTGCACTTTGAAACAAGAAAACAAAGCTTTGCAGGGATTGCCATCATTACTGACAGTTTAAACACAGCAAAAACCCCACTGTTTCCATGCAGGCAACAGCCAGGAAAGCAGGACTCACTTCAGCTGGCTGTGTAAATACCTGGAATTGGGGCTCCCTCCGCTGTGAATTTGCTGAGTTTGGACACTGCACCTCTCTTTGGAGTGTCTGACAAGCCCTGAGTGTGTGATTAGACAGATCTCTGGAAGACAATCTGTTTGGTCTGAAGCTTTACAAAACAAAGTGTAGTGTTAAATCTACAAGTTAAGTAGGTTTTTAGTTGATTTTCAGAGATACAATGGTTTAGTTCTGAAAATGAATAGTGACAAATCTGCTTTCTCTGGAGTCCTGTCGCCTACCTAAATGCAGGTTTGAGAAACAACAATTTGTACCTATTAATTAAATCTTCACAAAATTCTTAGTTATGGCTTTAAATTCTTTTCATTGTTGTATTTTTTTTAGACTTTAACATTTTTAATTCTTTTTCCTCTGGGATATTTTTTTCCTTCCTGCTCTTTCACTCTCTTTGTTTCATTTTTTTATCCCCTTTGTGTATCTTTCCCAGAATCTGCGAGGAAAAAGTTTGGCTCTTCCTACTTTTTCTAATGCCATCCCAAACATCTGCAGCACGTGTGCAGCCTGGCAATAGTGGCCTTGCTGCAGAGTGTCCCTCCAGCTGACAGGAGCAGTGCTGATGGCTGGGATAACACACCCTGGGGCTCAGGCTTGTGCTCTCCTGGGCAGCTCCTGCTGATCACTGCAAAGCCACAGAATGTGGTTTGTTTTTTTTTCTTTTGGAAAGAAAAATTTCATGTTCTTTTACTCAAGCTGTAGTTTGTTATAAATAAGCCCATAGAAAATCCCTAGTGAGAAATGTTAAAACTGAATTGGGTTCTGTGTTTTTCTCTGTCTCTAAAATGTACTTGTGTATATTAAAAAACCAAACCCAACCCCCCGAGCCTACACTTTTTAATACCAGCCTGTCACATTTTCCACTTGATTGTCCTCCCCTTGTTAAACAGACAGTGAACAAAAGCTTAATTTCAAGTTGAGTTGACTGCTTGGACTTAATTTAGCAAGGAGAGGAGAGAGGAAGTTGTGCTGGGCATTTGCTCTGTGGCTGTGCCAGTGACACAGGAGTGATGTGTCTGCTGAAAGTCTTGATACCCTGCTATCTTGGGCATTTGAGGGGCTTTCTGAGCCAGAAGACCTTGAAAGGAAATGAATTCCCTTTTGTCAGGGGAGAACACCAATGAAACAAGGCAGTAAACATATTTTTCTTCCTGCCTGCCACGCACTGCCATGGAAGACATTAAAAACCACAGTTGTGGGTCTTCTGGTTTTTAATACTTTTCATGAATTGCAAGAAATAAATAATCTGCTGCTTCCTCTGGTTGAGACAGTCCATCATTTTAATCCCTATGAAAGTGAAAATACAATAGTTTTTTTCTAGTAAGAAGGTTTTCTTCCAATACCCTGCTAAATAATTCACAATAATCAGCATTGTAGTCAACGGAGACACCACTTTAAGATCTTCCTCTGTTCTTAAAATGTTGGGTTTTACATTTTTATGAAATCAAACACTATGAATAGCAGTGTGACTGTTTATATTAACAAATTGGGATTGAGGTGTTTACCGTGGACTTGCATTAGTGCTCAGCTGCTCTAAGGCAATGGCAGTTTATTCACAATGTCTGGGAACAGGAATGGCTTTGCTGTCCACTGTGAGTTGATATTAATAATATATCCCTTCTGCTAATGGAGAGTAGGAGATGAAGCCCTTAGATGGGGTTGATGGGTTTTTCTATGGTTTTGCTTTCCTTTTGAATAAATACAGATGTAAAAGAGGCAGGTTTTTAAACAGAGGATGGCAATCTGTCCAATGCACAAGAAAAATCCTAACCAGAGAAAAGCAGCCAGCTACACCTTTGTCCCAGAAGCCCAAACTTTGGGGGTTTTTGCCCCACTGAATTGGGTCAGTAACTTATTCAGCTTCCTGCCCCTCACATTATGTGCCCATCCACATAATGATGGTAGGAAACCTTCTGCTCATTTGCTTTTTTGAAATCAGAAGCACCTCTCCTCCTTCAGCCATCTCCCCTCCCCCCAAGTCTCCCAGTTTTTGGGGAGTCAGCCTGGAGCTGCAGTGCCTGAACTGCATCTGCAGTGTTGAACTGAGGTGGTTCTTGCTTTCCTGGAGGAGAGAGCCCAGCCAATAAAATAATAAAGGGAAAGGCCAGGTAGGTGAGAAATTGGGCCTGGCTAATTCAGCCACGTTGACTTCATCTTCGTCTTGCAGGGTGAGACACAAGCTCAGCTTGTTCCGAAATCCTGAGCCAGGCTCTCAACCTGTGTTCTTTTCAAGGGAATGCTTAAAGAAAAGATTTAACTACACTTAATAGAAAGGCAGTACTTAACTTGTACTAATGTAATATTATATAATTACATTATTATTAATAACGTCATTGGACATTGGCCTACATTTAAATTCTGGTTACATTTAAATTCTGTGTGCTGCAGTTTTACAGGATTATTAATTCTTTTAAAACAAGCGCTTAATAGCTTTTAACAAAATACTCTCCATTGTGTGCAGCACAATTGCACCCACTGCTCCAGGTGACCAGAAAATGGTGGGGGCAGTGAACCTTAAGGGAGAAAGTGGAGTTCCCTGCTCTGATCTCAAACAAAAAGGGCCCTGCCCAGAGAGGACTGTGCAATGGGAGCCATAAAGGGTGGGCTGGGCATTGTGGTCCCCCTGCAGCCTGTGATTGATAGGGCCTGTGATCCTGCTGATTGAAGGAGAAAGATCAGGCCTGCTGGGCTTGCCTTGCTCTCTTCCTGTGTTTGTGGATCCTCTGCATCCTGTTGTAAAATATTATGACACCCCCTCCTTTCCTTTTATGTGTTTTGTTTTTTCCCCTCCCTCGAGGGCCTAAAAGGAGCTGCTGTCCCTTCCCAAGGTGCCCTGCACAGCCAGAAGCCTTGTGCTTATCTCAGGCTTTCCAGGAGCCAGACACAACCCTCCAAGAGATTCCAGAATCCCTCAAAACTGCCCTTTCCCGGGACCTTTCTTTGTGCAGGAGGTGCTGTTGATTCTCTGTTTGTTTGAGCTCCATTAGTCATTTCATACCCATCTTTCAGCAGCTGTACCTGGAGGAAAGGTGAGATTTAAAGTTATGCCAGAAAATGCACAAAATTCTTTGGTGACTTTGATTTGGATACCATTTTATTGTTAAATTAGAGCAGTTCTTTTATTCACAGGTATTTTCTTCCTTATCACTGTGTAACAAAGTTTAACTGTCCCTGAGCTGTAAACTGAGAGCAACAAGCTGTTTCTTACTTCTGTTCATCCCAATATGAGGCTCATCTTGATCACCAGTTCCTTTAGTTCAGATGAAGGTTTGTCCCTAAGTGACAGAAAGATTTGTTGCGATTCCATTTCCTAAAGGGAGAAATAATCCAAGAGTCTGGGTTAGCCAAAACCATCTCAGGTAATTTCATCTTCTGTTGTAGCCAAGAGATTTCTCTTCAAATGGAAGTATTTGGGGAGTTAGCAGGTGGTGGTGGTGCTTTCAGAACACTGTGGGAAGGCAACCATCAGAGCAGCGTTCCTGAACTGGAAATGTTCTGTTCCTCTCTGGCATCCAGAGCTGGTTTCCAGTGTAACCATTTGTTCTGCAGGAAGGAGAGAACTTCAACATTGTTCTTACAAAATAGGATCAAACTGTGGACAGGGACTCCCTGAGGATGGTCCCAGGAACAGGGAATGTCCCCATCCCTGTGTTCTCTTGTCAGGGCCCACACCTTTCTGCCAGCTGAGAATCTGTTTGAGTTCTTTTCATGCTGGAGGCATCACTGATGATGAGGGTTGTTCTTGTTAAACTAAAGCAGATTCCATGGCCTTTGGGAGGTTTGTCCAGCTGGATTTGGGCTTGGGTGGTGATCATGGCAAGGTCCAGCAAACTTTGTGTCCAGTGGAAAAGGGGACATTCTCTTTTCTCAGGGGGTTCCATTGCAAAAGTATTAATGGGTTAAGAAAAAAAACTGCTTTTTTTTTAATCTTTCAAATAACCAGGTAAAATGGTACACGTAAAATTCCAAAATATACCTTAGGGGCACGTGGAAACTTCCTCAGGGGTGGGGAATGCTAATTAACGTAGAAATATCCATTTCCTTTGAGGCACCTCTGCCTGTAGCAGCTGGACAGGTCACTGCAAACAACAGCCCAGTTGTGCTTTGCTACAAAACATTCTCCTGCAATGAAGATGAAATGTTTTTGCTCATGTGCAGCTGCTATTTGTGACATCCCAAATACAACAGCTGCTATTTGTGACATCCCAAATACAACAGCTGGCATTGGCAAAGGGGGCTGTAAAACCTTGTTTCAGAGACATGCAAGTCCAGGCCAGTCTTCCACATTCCAGTGGGATTTTTTTTTTCATTGAAAAGAAGTAGGAAGGATGTCTGGGGTTTTATTGCCATTTTCTTTTTTTTTTCCCCCTAAACTAAGGTGTCTGTTGTAAAATAGATAAAGACGTGTTTTTAGTTGCTCCATTTGTGTGTGTAAACCAAAGCAGCCTGTTTAATGTGGGAGGGAGGCAGGCTGTATTAGTGCAGAATAAATACTTGGTATTTATAAAACAACCCCAATGTTAAATCTTATGTTACTAACTCAGGCCCCTGTCTCTGCTGCCTGGCCACCTCAATGGCCAGGAAACAGATGCTGGATTTATTTGCTGCCTTTCCTGCAGTGCTTTCAGGAATTTAGCTCTGGTGAATAGGAGGAGGCAGCAGCAGGTCCTCTCCATTTCCTGCCCCGGGGCTTTGCTCCTGCTCAAAGGAATCTTTGTCACTAAATTAACACTTGTGGTGGGGTTGCAGACCCAGATGGGCAGAGCTGGGCTTGGGGGTTGTGTGGTTGCACAGATTTGTGTACAGACTCATCCCAGGGTGGTTTCTTTTCATCAACTTTGCAAGTCGTTAGGGAAGATTTTTTGGTGTCTGCTTTTGGTATTTTTTTTGAGCTGTGCCTGCCTGGTTGAGTCTGTTGGAGTTGGAGTTGATTACTGTCCCCCCTGGACTGTGTTACAGCTAAAGGTGTCATCTCAGAGTCAGTGCCTCAAGTCCATAGTTGGCTTGTCAGATACGAGTTATTTAGAGCCTGTAGAGAGGTGAGGGATTTGGGGTGTGTAAATAGGTAAGAAACATGCTGCTATTGGAGAAGTGTGCTTATTTCTGATAGAAAATGGGGGTTTCCACTGTGACTCTGCAGTGGCAATTTATAGAAAATACTATTTTGACTAAGCTCTGCTGAGTAGTCCTTATTTTAAATCAGTTGTTTTTTAACAGCTCAGCTTTATCCATAACCATGTACAAGGTGCAGTGCTCTTGAATATAATCCAGTATATACCTTTCCAGGCTGCCCTATTTTAGGAAGCAGCCACAAGGGAAGTTGTGGCTCCAAGTCAGTCTGGACCACTCCAGGAGTTTATCTGTGGGCAGAGGTCCCCCTTAGCCAGGCCCAGTGCTGACTTGCACTGGTGTGAAATGAATGTGGACAATATTATCCCTTGTGCTACTCCTTTCCCCACATTCCCTTGGGAAGCAGCCCTCTGCCATTGTTCCCTGGCTTTGGCCAGTGGAGCCAGTGCATGTATTGGGTCCCAATTCTAATTGTCTTGGGGGGCCTCTGTGTTGTCAGGCCGATTGATCTGTCAGTGGTGCAATAAACTCAGATGAGGCTGTTTACCTGAGCTCTCTAACGAAGTCTGTGCAGGGCCCGCCCAGGGAAGGGACTTTCCCTGCTCCCTGGTGGCCATGCTTTGGTGGGTGCAGCTCCCTGCTCTGGGAGGTGGGTGCAGCTGTGCCTGGGTGACGTTCAGGGCCGTTTGGAGCTGTAGGGCAGGCAGTGGTTCAGTGCACTCTCCGCTGAGGTGCAGCCCTTGTGTTGCAGGTGGCCCCCGAGGAGTTCAAGACCAGCATCAGCAGAGTGAACGCCTGTCTGAGGAAGAACCTCCCTGTCAACGTCAAGTGGCTGCTGTGTGGCTGCCTGTGCTGCTGCTGCACCCTGGGCTGCAGCCTCTGGCCTGTAGTCTGTCTTAACAAAAGAGTGAGTGCCTGCTTCACCTCCTCATTCTGCTGAGTTGGCAATTATTAGCATTACTAAGAACAGCACAAATTAACTTTTCACAATGTCATCCCGATTTCCAGACCTTTCTTTGGCCTCACTCGCATTCAAAAGGTTATTCTGCTTTCCATTCCTTAGGATACAGGAAAAAGGGGTTTGTTAATGAAGTGACACCAAATTACCAGTTGTATTCATAGTTTTAGGAATAGCTGCTTCCACCTCATAACCTGAATTCCCAGGACCCCGAAAGGTTTAAGAATCGAGTTAAATCAGTGCAGAACTGGACACATTGACCTTCTAAGACTGCCAGAACTGGACTGAAAATCACTTCTCCTCTCCACAGCCCTCCCCCAAGTATTTTTTAAATTAAAAGTCTTTTTTTTTTTTTTGTCTGCAACAGATACCATAACATTTCAGAGCTGTGCTCCATCTGCCCTGTTTTACTGTGCTGTTTCTAGTAAGAACAAGCACAAATTCCTTTTCTGTTTGGGAAGTTTAAAGACTTCCCCCACAACAGAGAACTGACCATTCCTGCAATCAGGTCTGAAGTAGTAATTTTGAAAAGCACTTCAGCAATACCAAGTAAATATGACCTTAATTACCTCTGTGGCTTCCATTTAGATTGATTTCTCACAGCAGTAAATGTTTAGGAGGTACATAAATAGGTACATTGTGATGATATTCTTTGCACTTACGTAGTTTGTAAGACTTGCAGCTGTAAAATCTTATTATCCCCAAATGCAAATATTATTTAGGTGCACTGGGAAAAAACCTCTTACATTTTTTAGTTTAATTATAGGAAAAGATCTTTAGTAAAAATCTGTTAAAAAGTAATCCTGGCTTTTCAGAGTTTCTGCTCTTTCAATAAGACAAACCACAAGCAACAAAACAAGGAATGAGATATGCAAGTGGAGTATTTGCAGTTTGAGAGCCCTATTTTACGTTCTTGTGTAGTGAAAATCAAAATAAATGCCCCGGGGATGTTGCAGTGTTAATGTCATTGTCAAGGCTACAGAATATGTATGAGATACCTGAGCAGGAAAACGATGGGGCTTCGCTCAGGGGGTGTCAGTTGTATTTCAGCCCCAACAATCACAAGGTGGTTCTTCATTTTTGCCTGTTCTGGGTTGAGCCCAGAGAGCCCCTGAGCTCCCCCCAGCCCCTTCCTCACACAGCCCTGCCCCCAGAGCAGGATGGGGGGCAAAATCACAGAGGAAACATCTGGAAAACATAGCTCTGTGGATAAAGTTTAGTGGGAAGGAGGGAAGGAAACCCGAGTGGTGAAGAAGCAAATCACTCACAGAACCCCCAGTGTGCTGGGCTGGAATCCCACAAGGATCATGGAGTCCAACCCTCAGCCCTGCACAGCCCCAGCCCCAGGGTGGGAAAGAGCAGCCCCAGTTTTCCTGCTGATCGTGGTGTTCCTGGATGGAATATCCTTGGGCAGTGTTCTGCAAGAGCCACCACACTGCTGTGAGATCAGCACTGCTCCAGTCTGCAAACTGTGGCAACAACAGCCCCCAGCAAACAAGGGAGAGGGATCCAAGGGCTGCAGCGTGGAACTGGGACAGCTGGCACAGCAAACAGCACATCCCTCTGAATTCCAAGGGGAGCTCTGTGTGGAGCAGCTCCCAAAGCAGGGCTGGATTCCCCCGCTGTATCTTTTCCCAGTGAGATGCTGCAGGTCACCTGCCATTATTCCCTTTAGCACAGGAATTGGGGATGGGACTCTGTGCATACCTTGCAGGGTCACCACAGTGACCTCAAAAATCACTGAAACTCCAAAAATCAGCTCCTCTCCCACAGCTGTGGGAAGAGCAGAACATGAGGGTCCCACTTGAGTAGCCAAGAGCTGAAAATACAAGCAGGGTTGTGAGCTGGAGTTGTGGGGTGGGGAGAGTTTTTCAGGGTTCAGATCACAATTACAGGAGCAAAATCTGGGAATTACAGGTGTGTAAATGATGTGTGGTGAGTGGAAATTGCACGTATGGAAATCTTGTGTTGTCAGGAGAACAGCTGTAGTGAGTGCAGGGTTTGGCCAAGGGAATGGAGGACATTTGGTTTTGTTTCCTTGCCTGTGGTGTGTAAAAGTACCAAATTCAAGGGGTCTCTTCCTATCCATGTGAATTCTGGGAGATTTGCAGTCCCAAGTTAACAGTAAACCCAAGGGTGTTTCCTTTCTTGAAAAAAGTTGGAGTGGGGAGTCAAAGGGGTGGGATTTCCATTGGTAATTTCTCTTTTGCTTGGTTCTACTTATCTAAAACTAACTTATAAATTAATCTTAGCCAGAAATGTCGTAGTGAGATTGTTCTGCATGGCTACTGAACCGTTAATAATACACTCTGGGTATTATTGACTCTATTATATGACTCTACTTTTTAGACTAGAAGATCAATCCAGAAGTTATTAGAATGGGAAAATAACAGACTATATCATAAGGTAAGAAAAGTCAGAGTGCTTGGTTTTTTTCAGCTTTAAGAATAGTGGGATGAAAGAATTTTACATGTTATAATTCTTGTAATAATATGTTAATAATATTGTTCTTATAATGCTTTGTACTGATCCTCAAGTGTTGTAGATGTTAATAATTCAGTATTGCTAATGCTTGTGGCATTGCTCACCCAAGCAAGGCTGTGTTATGTGGTATGTTAATCCCTTGTTAATTATTTTCTTAGCTTGGTTTGCACTGGAAGCTGAGTAAAAGGAAATGTGAAACTAGCAATATGATGGAATATGTAAGTATTACTTCTGTTCCTAATTTGCTCTTCCCCATCACTGTTATTTCACAGAGAGGACCCTTCACTTGCCAGAGTGAGCCTGTGCAGAAAGGTCTCAGGCAAACAGAGCTGGCTTTGACACACCCAGAAAGGCCACTTTTATCAGCAGCAGCCAGGGCTCATCCTGGCACTCAGACACTCACCACAAACCTGTTTCTGCTCCCTCACAATGCTGTGTTTGCAGGGCAGACACACCTGTTTTGGTCTGTGCCTGGGAATGGGGGAGACCCCCTGGCACTTCATTCCCACCCCAGCACAGTGCCCAGTTCTTGAACACATCCCCCCCTTTCCTAGTGGTATCCATGATTACTTCGATTCAAAGAATTTGGGCAGAAATACTGCATTTTTGTAGGGTTGGTTCGTTTGGTTGGGGGTTTTTTTATGGATCTTTTCCTTTTTTTCTTTTTCTTTCTTTGCCAGCTCTAAATTTCACAAGGTTTGAAAAGAGAGGGGCCTTTCAGGAAAGCAGAATTCAGGACTATTTCTGTGATCCTGCTGCTCCCCCCTCCACTTTAACACATAGCTGTGGAGTTTGGGTAGCCTTTAAGGGAAAAGATAGTCCTCCCAAAAAAATCAGGCATCCACAATCCCTCTATTTCCAAATGACTGGAACCTCTGCTTTGCTCCCCTGGGGAACATTCCCTCTTTACTTAGTGTCTCAGATGTTTAGTCTTATGAACTAGCAAATGCTGCGTGGAAACTGTGCTGAAGGTTTGAACCTCTTGGTTACTGTGTTCTGTTCTTGTCTTTTTCCCCTTCTTCAACAGGTAATATTAATAGAGTTCTTACCAAAATATCCCATATTTCGACCTGACTGAGGAACAACATTGGTCTTTTATGTTACCTGTCATTTTCTACCCTTAGTGCCTTGTAGATGATTTTGGAAAGAAGATGGTCTACTTTGCTGTGACTTAAAATGTTCTTCAGTAGAATATCTTCCTCGCTGTTACTTTCTTTTGTTAAGAAGAGAACAATTTGCACATTTTTTTATGTTAAACGAGGCTTCTATGTTGCACTCTGAATTTTTAACATAATAACTCATAGAGTTGCCACTAGGGATCTGACATCAGTGCTGCTTCAACTTGTTCTGAGCATGCTGCCTTATTCATTTCTCAATTATTTGCTGTCCTCAAAACGTGCATCCTAAGGCTGTGTCATCCTCTGCTCCATCCTAAATGTCTCGATCCTAGAACCCCTCAGTAGGAATGTCCAGGTAATTGTCTCGTAGTGATGATTTAGTATAACCTGCTTGCATAGGACTTGCAATCAACAGCACTGGGTTTGTCCTGCACTTTGCAAAATCATCATCGACATTAGTTTACCCACTCTGGATTTGTAAATATAGACTCTTTGCATAATGTCAAGTGTGGTATGCCAAGGTTTACAGAATGTATTATAGCTCTTACTCTCTTGCCAACAATCCCCCAGTTCCATTTGCTCGTGTCCCCTGGACTGTACAGACCCCCCCCCCCCCGTGGTTTTCTGGGGAAGCCATGAGGAGTTTGGACGTACTTTCAGATGTGTAGGGCTCAGTTGCACTTTGTTTAGTAAATGGATGAAAAATGCAGAGCATTCCTGTCTGTCTTTTTATTTGAAAAAAAGCCTTTCAGGTGGTGTTTGCAGCACCTGAAAGAGGAAGCTGGAATCTGTTCACCTCTCAAAAAGCTGCATTTGTGGGTTAGGTGGCAGCTGCTCTTAACAAAAAATACCCTAAAGTCTCTTTTTGAGTTAGGAACATTTGGATGTCAGGTTTTGTTTTGAAGTAAGGGGGAAAAAAAAAGTCTCGTAATTGGAGATCTTCATTCCTAAGGAGAAAAATCTGGAAGAGCCAAATCAAAGCTGGAGTACCACCTCTGTTGCTGTAGTGTGATTGTGCTTCAGCATTTTAACAGTTAATAAGTGACATGACATCCTTTCCAGTGGAAATGAATTTTATCTAAACCAGTGGCATTTCCAAACATGCCGAGGGAGGAAGAGGAGCAGCTGAAAGGGCTCCTGCAGATATTCTGGCAGTCAGGCAGTGTCTGCACAGCCACAAATGCCTTGTGGAATTCAGGATTATTTCGGATACTTCCCTGTTTGCCTGATCTCAGGAAGGGAAGTGATTGTAGAAGAACTTCCTGGAATGACTGACCTAAGCAAGACCATTCAATAACAGAAAGCAAATGCAGATTGGTGAGAACTTTCTCCCTTTCCTGACAACAGATAATTAAAACCAGCAGATGGCCGAGTATCTGCAAGTTGGGATGAATATTATCATCATATATTCATCATGTTATCACCAGTGTCCAGGCTTTTCTTTGCCACAACTTGACTCCCTGCAACATCATCCCAAGTGGCTTTTTAGTTTCGGGGTGACTTGGGATTTCCTCTGAATGTATTTGCATCCTTTCAGTTTGCAGTATGGTATTAAAACACAGTATTTGTAGGACCATTGCATTCTAATACGTGTAGTAGGTCAGATTTCTTGTCCACAGTGTTTACAGAAGGCCAGTTTTATGCACAGTTGGTGCTGTTCCTCCTGCACAGCTGAGGAGAGTCAGGCTGGGATCTGCACACTTCATGCAGGAGCTGCGCTCGACTGGTAGATTGGTGACAACTGAGTGTGGAACTGCATTTGTAACCTGAATAAAAACCTCTGGTGTGGGTTGAAGTTAATGTCAGCTACACCTTGCAACTCGCATTTCCAGCACAGAACCAAGCAAAGCGTTGTCTCCCAGTTTATTTGTGGGTTTTTTTGGAATGAGTGTTAACTGGAAGCAGAGAAAATAATGGCAGAAAAACACAGGGTAAACCAAAACTGAAATAGCACACCCAGTTCTCTGGAATTCCCTGAGTTTCTGGAGAAAATTAAGGGAGCTTGGCTTAATTAACAGAACAATGGGAGTTTCTTGTTGTTATGCCAGAGCTTTGTTGATGATTTTTGGGTTTTGTGTGAGAAACTCAAGAGATCTCAGCAGGTTCTTATTTTCTTCTTTATGGACCTGTATTTTCCAAACATACTTTTCCATTTGAGAACAGGCACTTTCCATGGAATCCCAGAATAGTTTGGGTTGGAAGGGATCCTAAAACTCCTCCAGTCCCACCCCCTGCCATAGGCAGGGACACCTTCCAGGTTGCTCAGAGCTCCACCCAACCTGGCCTTGAGCACTTCAGCACATTAAAGTTTACATTTTAACTGTGTAGATTCTGTACATTTTACTTTGTCCTTAATTATTAATTGTGCACTCTCCAAACCACGAATGGGCCTCCCCTTTTGTGTTCTAACAGACATTGAACCATGTGGCTACAAAGCAAACTAGTCAAGAACGAGAGCCAAAACTGCCATCTCCATCAAGCTCCATGTTTAATAAGTAGATGAATTTGCATGAGAATGCAAAGCCAGCAGCAGTTATTATAGTTGCATCTGAAAGATCCCCAGCTCACTGAAGGGTGAGGGCAGCTCTCAGTGCTGACGGGAGCTCCCTGCACAGGTTCTGTTTTGCCTGGGCTCTCCTTTGCTTTCATAGAAAAACATCCCCAGGGAATTCTGTCATTTTTGACAATAAAGCCATCAGCATGAATTGGTAAACCTGCTTAGGGAGGATGTTAGTCAGCTGGAGAAAGAATCTGTAGCAACAGAACAGAGATTCATGTCAGCAAAGGGAGTGGAAGCGGTAAAGAAAGTGCCTTGGCTGGTTCCAACAGCAGAGTGAGGAGAGGAGGAACTGGTACCTCAGGAGGGTGAGTTTGCAGCAGACTTTTAAAAGCAGCTACTGTCTACCAAATCAGTGTTTAATTTTTCATATAAACATGTTGACACTAACTTTCTAGTTTTTATCCAGGAAATCGTTGGGTTTGTATCAGTGAGTTTTGTGTCTAAGCAGTAAGGAACACTGGCAGAGCATCAGAGCTTACTGCTTATCCCCCACCTGTGCCTGGGAAGGTGTTTTACCACAGGAGGGACATAAAAAGCGTCCGAGACGTGCACAGACAAGCCTGGGAAGTGTGGATGCAGTTGTAAATGGGTGGCTTTAACAACGGGAAAAAAATTCCTTCTAAATCTGGTGTGATTTTGGTAAATCCAAACTCAAGTTCCTTTGCTTTCCTTGTTTAGATACAAAACTCCATGTGCAAAACCATAAAGAGATGTTTATTATTGTCCCACTAAGAGAGTTTACTACATCTCCTTGTCAACATGTTACCATTGGAGCAATAAAATGTCAAGCTATTAACATTCAACGCAAATTATTTATCACTTCAGTAAATAATGTTTTGTGATTCTTCTGCCATTCTTTTGTTTTCTGCTTTTGGTGTTCTTACAGTGTTGTAACATACTTGTACTGCTTCAGAAAAGTGGTTTTGTTTAAGCTGTATGAAACTGTGTTCTTAACACTTTGATTCTGTTTACAAGTGAACAGCCACTTTTTTAACAAGACCTCACATCTGGAGAGTTTTCTCTCTATTTTTTATTTTAAATGAAAATAAAATTCTAACTGAGCTCGCTTTCTACAATTTACTGCACTGGCTTGTGCCATTGAAAGAAGCTGGAAGTCAGACATGCTTCATCACTTTGAGACATTTTTCTTTAATTAAATTTAAAGATGAAAACCTCAAATTGTGCAATGTGTTTATGGGGAAAAAAAATAACAGGAATGTTTTGCGTCTCTCCCTGTAGCACAGTGTAAGTGGGAGGGCTCGTTTCAAGAACAACACTTGGAAAGCTTAGGGGGGATTTCCAAAGAAGAAAATGCAGAATGAGCATCTCATCTAGAACTGATCCTCAGTGCTGGCTGGGAACGTAGGGAATGTTACTGGAACTGATCCTCAGTGCTGGCTGGGAACGTAGGGAATGTTACTGGAACTGATCCTCAGTGCTGGCTGGGAACGTAGGGAATGTTACTGGGGGGTTTGGCCAGAGCAGGGATGTGGGGCTGAGTCAGGGAGTTCACTCCCTCAGAGTTTATGAGGTGTAATTGCCCAGACTGGCAGCAAAGGTCCATTCTAGGAATATTTGGGATTTGGCCATGACTTCTCTTGGAAGGCAGTTTTAGGGCTTCCTGTATGTCTGTGCCAGTGTATTTGTAATGCTGTGTGTCTGTCCTCAGTTCAGTTGACCTTAGAGAGACTTAAACCCTTCATTTCTTGGACAAAATTAAATGTTAGTCTCCTCTCAAAAGCAAAGTTCTCTGTTCCTGGTCATCCTATTTGTATTGATTTGTTTGAATTAATTTTCCTTGGATGGGGGTGACCAGAAAAGTGGGATATTCCAGACAGTGGCTCGTGGTGAGGCACCAGGGATTTCAGTGTTGAGAGTTCCCTCTCTTCTGTGAACACAATCTGAGCCATTACACTGAAAGGATCACATCTGTCCCCTTAATGGCTGTATTGGATTTCTGGTTCGCAGCCATTCCATGATAACTGTGGGACTTTTTGGTCACCTGTAGTTTATAGGAGCTCCCAGCACTCTCATTACCAGTCCCACCAGTCCAGACTCAGCACCTGACACTTTGTACTGGTGAATTCCTCAACACTTCCGTGACAGGGGTCCTTGTGGAGGTGCTCCCATCCCTGCTGTAAAAAGCCTTTGTCACTGACTGATTCATCTGCAAAGGTAACAAAAATGATTTTACTAAAAGCATTAGTTCTAAGATTGATGCCTGAATTTTTCCCATCATTTTCTAAAAGCCCTTTTGCTCAGCCCCTGATTAAATGTTTCTGTTATTTCTCCATGTGACTGAACCCGTCATTTCCTTGTTGAGCTTTATCTGGTAGATCCAACCTACCTGGACTTGGTTGATTTACAGCTGTTAGTTTACTAAACTGCTGAATTCTCTGCATTTTCTGTAATTGCTGGATCTGTTTAGATAATTACACTTTTAATATATTCACATTTTATCTCACATTCTTTTTGTAAACCATATGACCCATAGTAGCCTTTTTTGAGCAGTAAATTAAAGTTTCTGCAAGAAATAGATTTATATTTCTATGTTCAGTGATAACAAATATAATCTGAGGTTTCAACGAGGAAAAAACTTTTTAAGAACACTTCAAGTCACGTGGGATACCCTGCATTGTAATAAAATTGGGAAGAGGAATTACAGTAGCTCTCAGACTAAGAATTTAAAGTTAAAAGGCAAACACTAATCAAAAGGTAATGGCTGATCTGTATTTAGTGTAAATTAGTGCAGGCCTGAGTGAGGAATTGAAAGCTGGTTCTCCAGGCAGTGTCCACAGGGATCCCCTCAGACTTTTTTGACAGTGAAGTGTCTGAATGGAGAAACAAGAATCAACAGGAATTCTGGTTTTGAAAATGGAAAATAATGATGTTAATGGAAAAAAAACAATGTTGGGCACTGCTGAGGTTTATGGAATGAGCAGCACTTTTCCCCCTCTGTGGAGTTAACCTGGAGCCATGGGTGTAACCAGGGATCTGTCAGCTCCCAGGGACTGCAGGGGTCTGGGGATGTCCAATTGCTATTCCAGTTCTGGCAAGAGCATCCCAGCATTCCCACCTGGAGGAGGAACGGAGCAGAGCCACACTGGGACCACAGGGAGGGGAGACACTCCTGAAGTAACCAAGAGGTAATTTTTGTCAAGCTTCGAGGTCCAGAATGAGCAGCAGGCGCTGCCTCCCGGGGGTGCGAGGTGTGGAATTCCCTGCGGAGCTGCAAATCCGGGCTGGGGGGTGTCATCCTGCCCGGACAGTACCGAATCTGCCACTGCTGCACCGACAGAGCAGCCCCTGGCGCTTGGCAGGTGGCACTGACGGCAGCGTCGTTTGCCCCCATCACTTCCCAACGCCCCTTCGGGAATTCTCTTCGGGAATTCTGCTGGACTCCTCCCGCCCTTCAGGGGCCTCCGCGCGGGAGGAGCCACAGCGGCCGTTCGGGCTCTGCTCTGCGCCCTGAGCTGCTTTCCGTGGGCGAGACTGCGCGGAGCCCCGTCCCTTCGAGCCTGGCGGTGGGACGGTGAGAGGCTGAATGGCTGCAGTTGTGGAGAAATCCCGCCGTGTCCCTTGTGGGGAAATCCCGCCGTGTCCCTTGTGGGGAAATCCCGCCGTGTCCCCTGTGGGGAAATCCCACCGTGTCCCTTGTGGAGAAATCCCGCCGTGTCCCCGTCCCGCGGCACGGGGAGCGCTCCCGCCACAGCCGCCAGCTCCGCGCGTGCGCCTCAGCCCGGCCGGGCGGCACTGGGACCCTGCGGGGCGGGCGGCACTAGGGCCCCGCGGAGCCGGGCGGGCGGCACTAGGGCCCCGCGGAGCCGGGCGGGCGGCACTGGGACCCTGCGGAGCCGGGCGGGCGGCACTAGGGCCCCGCGGAGCCGGGCGGGCGGCACTAGGGCCCCGCGGCGCTGGCGGGCGGTGCTCGGCCCAGCGCGCCCCCGCGGGGGTCCCGCCGCCCCTCCCGCCCCGCAGCAGCGATGGCGGCGCCGTAGCGCGGCCGCCCATCCCCGCCCGAGCACCGCGCACGGGCCCGGCGGAGCCGAGCGGGGCCGCCGCCGCTCCTCCTCCTCCTCCTCCCGCCGCCGCCGCTCCCCTCAGCCCCGCGGCCGCCATGGCCACCGAGCTGGAGCCGCCGGCCGCCGGCGCCGTGTCGGGCGCGGCGCCGCTGGAGGCGGAGGAGGACGAGGAGCACTGGCTGTACGGGGGTAGGTACCGCGGGGCCCGGCCGGCCGCGGGCCCGGCCCCGCCTCAGGGCCGCCCCCGCCCGCGGGGCCGTGCGGGGCCGGGGGAAGCTCCGGGGGCGGCCCCGCGGTGTGCGGGGGGAGAGGGAGCGGCATCGGCCCCCGTGCCCATCACAGGGACCGCCATCCCCCCCTGCCCTCACAGGGACCGCCATCCCCCCCTGCCCTCACTGGGACCGCCATCCCCCCTGCCCTCACTGGGACCGCCATCCCCCCGTGCCCTCACTGGGACCGCCGTGCCCCCCGGGCCCCTCAGGGACCGCTATTCCCCTCGCAGGGCGGCGGTGTGTTATTGTCCTTTTATCGCCATCACTGGTGCAGGGAGGTTAACGAGGTGCTTTTGTTGGAGTTTCAGTTCCCTAATCGCCCAAACCTTGTGGCCTAACGGGGCTGGGATGCGTCCAGGACAAACCACAGGACTTTACTGAAACCCCATTGTCCTCCCCCTGGGCTTTCCACATGAATGCTTTTGTGTTTCTTCTTCCCTGGGACGTTAAAGTTCTATATAAAGACCTTCATAGCTTCCCGTGTGACGTTTGTCTCTAGTCTCTGAGACTTTAGATGCATATTTTGAATTTCGTTCTGTGTCAGTGGCTGAGGCATCACCTCTGCAGATGGATATTGCCTGTTGGGTTGGGTTTATTTTTAGTTGCTCCATTTCTAGTTGAACTTTCTTGGAAAGAGAGCATCGGGGTCATGGTACCTTGGCACCAGGAGGTATTTCTGTGCCTGTGATGCCTTTTGTGCTTAAATTTACTCTTTTCTTTTTTCTTTGCCTTGAATAATTTCTTTGCTCCTTCTGTTGTTTTTGCAGATGACACCACTGGTAAGCAAGAAGATGGACCAATTTCTGGGTGAGTGCAGAGGCTGTTTATTTACTCTACCAGCACATGCTACACAGAAGATAAAGCCTTGTCCAGCTGAGCTGCCTGAGTGCTTTAGACCCGTGCTGTTGCCAGGAACAGCAGCCTGTCCTTTCCCCATCCCGTGGGATCATCCCCAGCCACCATGCTGGGCTGGCACTCATTTATGGATGTGGATGGAAGGCGGCTCAGTCAACTGGTTTGATTTAAAACTAACTTTTAGCCCTTTTTTCCTCTCACCAATTAGTTTTAAATCAGATCTGTTTTCCAGTTTAATTCCCTGGGAAAAATGATGCCTTGAGGACTGGCCTTTGTGCTGGCCTGGCGTTGGTGAAACTGTGGCCTGTGCTTTAGCCTGGAAAAGGTAAAACATCTTGGGTTAAAATCTTGACATGATCAAATCAGCACGTTCTGTCAGGTCTCTGAAGTGTGTGGTTTGGGTAAGACTTGGAGATAAAATCAGTGATCAGTTTGGGTTTCTGTGTGTGGAAAATACTGTCTGTCCTGGACCATAATTCCTCTCTGCAGGGGTGTTTTGTTGAGCTTTGTCTCAGCACAGTGTTATCTGTTTGCCATTTTAAAATGGAGCATTTTCCAGAAGACTTGATCTTCACTGGACTTCTGTGTGCTCAGCACCTTCCAAAGTTCAGTCTGATGTTTATTGTCCTTGTGGATTTGGTGTCTGGAAGTTCTGGGATTGTTATGGATGCTGTTCTACTGGTGTGCTTAAGGAATATGAAAACTTGAGCAAATAAACAAGTGCTAAAAAACTCGGTTAATTGTTACCTAAAATCATCAAATGAGCTTTGTGAGAAAGAGCAACTTTTAGACAGGAATTTACTGCTGATTTCCATAAATCTATTGTTCCGTGTCACGTTCATCTGAGTGGAATTTTACTTCACAAGCAGGATTAGAAATCTGAATTTCCAGCAACTGTCTTCAATAACTGCAAGATGCAGGAAGGAGAAGCACTAGTGCTTGTGTGAGCTCTCCTTTTTTTTTTCTTGTCCTCTTTTTGTTTGGTTTTTTTTCCCTATTTCTTTGTTGCACAATGAGAATCTCCCTAACTGAAGAGCTGGGGGGAGTTTTCAGAAAAACGACTCTTTGTTTGCTGTGTTGTCGGCGGCTGCAGCTCCAGGGAGGCTGTGCTGGTTTGTCTGGATTGTCCCCAGCCAGGGAGCAGAGCTCAGTGCAGGTTGGGCTGCAGTGTCCATTGACATGCCCAGGCCCAAGGGGTGTGTGGAACACCAGCAGATGCTCTCCCAGCAGCAGTGCCCAGGATGCTGTTGGCGTTCTGGGGTGTTTTTCTGGGTGCAGGGGGTGCTGGGGAGCAAATGTCTCTCTGAACTCCAGTTCATAAATTTTAATGCACACCCACAGATCCCTCATGTGACTGGAAGCTGAAGGTAATACTTGTCACTCTTCCTGGAATCAGGAATCACAGTCATCTCAGATTCTTAAGGAAGTTCTGGGGTTGGGGTCAATGTTAGGAGTTGGTTGGATTGGGAAAAAGGTTTTGGATCCATCAAAAAGATTTTCTGCAGTGGTCCATCCTTTGGTCCTCATGTCCCAGCCTGTGTTTTCAGGTGGAAATACTTGGAGGCTCATTTTCCCCCGACACCTTGGCTGCTTTTTATACCTGGAAGTGTCTGCAGGTGTCACACCAGGAACATGGTGACCATGGGACCTTCCCTGCTCAGCTGCAGAGCCTTCAGCTCTTCTTTCTGATCTTGGCTTGATGAATTCTTTTGTATGTGGAGCTTTTCCACTGTGGGGCTTCACTTACTGCTCAAACTGTTTGTTTGTTCTTTGTTTTATGCTCAGTAACTCATGAGTTGTGTTACTTTACCTTGTTTGGTGTCTTGTTTCCTGCCACTCCATGGCTTTAATGTGAGCAGTGTTTGGATTCTGTGGTTATTTTTGAAAACAATCTGTGTATGTTTGTTGTCTGACGTGGGATTTTAAATAGCAGCATCTCCACAAAGCTCTGGTGGAGAATTGGGTTTTCTGGGCTATTCTAATTGTCTCTCTTGAAAAGTCAGTATTGTTACAAAGTTCTACCAGTTTTGTCTATGACATTAGAGACAAATGACCTGTCTCTGTATTTTAGTTCTGTGACACTGGCCTTACTCTTTTCTAGCATGTGTGCACCAATTTGACATTCCTGCTTGGCCAATGCAGTAAATAATGTTTGCACAAACTCTTTATTTGGAGGTAAATGCAAACCTGGCCATTGTTGCATTAGGGCTGATTTGTGATGAGTGAGAAGATTGGGTGGATAATTATCTGTCTTTTCTTCTTGGAATTTTAACTTCTTGTTACTGTAAAGTATTTGCAGAAACACTAAAATCACTTTTTCCTCATTCTTTTGGGACAGATGCCCTTGGTGCTTACTGTTTGTGTAATTATGAGATCCTTAAAGATGAGGGGAAATTTTACCTCTTACGGTCCTATTGTTATCAACTGTGATTGTGCCAGAGCAAAGCTGGGAGCTGTTCTAGCTGCCACTTACATTAGCAGGGGAATGCTGTCAGGTGTTCTCTGGATGTCTGGAACTGATTCTTTCCAGCAAAAACAAATAGAAACCCAAGGCAGGAGGATGGAATTTTTGCCGTGTGGTTGAGCTGGGTGCCAGCAGAACAAACCCAGGACATGAACGAGGGCTTACATAAAAGCCACCTGGCTGAGGGGTTTAGAACTGTCTGTAGGTGAACCTCCAGGCTGGGCTTGTGCACCTGCTGTTCTGTGTCATGGTCACTTTGTTTTGTGTGTTCCCAGCCATGCAGAATCTGCTCACCCCCTGCAGGATGCTCCCCAGGAGAGCCGGCCCGTCAACAGCGAGGACCGGGAGATGTCACAGCACGTACGTGTCCCCTGCCCGCCTGCACAGGGTGGGGCTGTGCTGCTCCACACTGCTGGACAGACAGATGGGCTGCAGAGATCCTGGGCTGCCTAATGCCTTATGCTTGTAGTGTCAGGGTGCTCTGACAGCCAGTCCCAGGGCCAGCTGCATCAACAGGCTCCTCTTGGCAGCCTGGAGGGACCCCGGGGTAAGCTCTGCTGGTGCCCACCCAGGAGGCACAGGAGGGGCTCTGGTGCTGCAGCCTGGCAGGGCAAACAGAACACGGTGTTACCTGCAGCTCAGTGTTCAGTGTGACTTCTCAAGGGCCGGTAAGATCTGGCAAACACTGGGATAGAAAGCCCAAAGTGCTGGGAATCAGTTTTGACTCAGGCTCAGACCTCTTAGAATGCAGTCCAGTGGCTCAATGCTGAAAGAGGAGGAGGAGGGTTGTTTCTCCCCTCCCCCCTCTCCTGGTCTCTTTGATGGGTTTATGTGCCACTGTGGCACATCAAGAGGGCTCACACAGGGTTTGTGTGCCGTGGAAAAGGAGGGAGGGAAGAAACACCTTCCTCATGCCCTTCCATAGGGTGACACTTTAATTCAGCTCCTGCATCTCACAGAGCTGCACTGCTGAATGTCTGGAAAGCTTCCTTGCCTATTCCTTCACTTTTTTGTCCCAGCACTGAGGCTGCACTGGGGTCAAATCAGCAGCCGTAAAGTGAAGGGGCTTGGGGACTGACAGTGCTCAATCAGCTCAGCAGCTCAGTGCTCAGCAGCTTCCTGCCACAGACCTGGGGAGAGAACATTTGCCTGAAGGTTCTTGGGGGAAGCCTGGTGGATGTACTTTTGGGGGGGGGTTTATTTGTGGTCGTGGCCTCTGACCATGGACCTGTGAGGGGGATGTGTCAGAACAGCCCTAACCCTTTCAAAAGGAGCGGGGCAGAGGAGCTGAGAGATGTGGTGACATTGTTAGAGCTGAGCTAAACCTTCCCTGCATTCAGAGCCGTGACCCTGCAGGAGAACTGGGGCAGTGCCTGCAAGGGGCACTGGGCTTTCCCTGTCTGCTGCTGTTGAAGGCTGGTCAGGAAGCTGTCCAGGCCGTGGCTGAGTGTCCTGGGGCACTGTCACTGTGTGCATCCCTGAGCTGCTGTGTGCTCACACTGTTGCAGGCCCTGCCCAGCGGGGAGGATGATGAAGATGACAGCGACAGCGACAGTGATGATGACGATGTCAAAGTGACCATTGGCAACATCAAAACGGGAGCACCGTCCTACATGTGGGTATTGCTGCTCAGGGTGGGACTGTGGGGCTGAGGAGGCCCAGCATGCTGGGGCTGAACTGGGGAGGAGACGAGAGCTGTTCTGTGTCCTGGGAGACACAGCAGTAATGGCCAGAGCACTGGAATGGGACTGGGAGCTGATGGGCAGCTCTGTCCTGCAATTGTTCCTTGGAGAATCCATCTGTAAAATAGGAATGGTAATTCATGGGTCTGCTGCTGGAAAATTAACCCTCTAATTGCTGTGCTTCGTGGGGCAGAATCAAAGGTGGGAAGTCACACTTAACTCACCTGTGAAAACTTCCAGAACCCAAATCTCTGTTGCTGAGAATTTGCATAAAGCTGTGGATTTAGTAATTCCCAGCTGTCATATTTTTCATGGCTCAGAAACAGTGAGGCTGGATTTGAGAAGGAGGAGATGGAATTTTTGCAAACTTGCCTAATGTGCACTGAATTAAAATAACAAGGCAGTGCTCTTGCCTGCTACTGGCAGCCTTCCTCTGGGGAAATGACTTACCTGGGCTTTGCTGCAGATTCCAATTCTTCCACTTCATGGATAATTTCCCTCTCTTGCTGTAGAGGTGGTTTCACTCTGATGGGTGATTCTGACTAGCAAACCCAGGTGAACTAAAGCATCTTCTGAAGGGTGTCAGGGCTTGAGTGTATTTTGCATGTGAATCTTGGGCCGAGTCGTTTGTTCAGATGCCAACACGGGATTCTTTTCCGTAGGGGAACTCCCATGAACCTAAACCTGAAAACGGGGAGAGGCTACGGAGCATCTGCCTCAGGTACTGCTGTTGTTTTCATCCTGCCCCTTTTGCAACACGTCACTCCCTGGCAGTGAGAGCTGCACAGGTGCTCTGTTGGGAAGGATATGGAATTAGTGCATCTGATGTAAAGCAGGAATAGTGCCTTTCCTAAAGATGAGTGCTCCTAGGACAGGCTCAGGGTCTTTAGTTGGAGAGATTTAATTATCCATGGCTAAACAGGGTGATTGTAATTCTGTTTAAACTATAAAAAATACATTATTGTGTTATAGTAGAAAGCCCAGAATATTTCTAATCTGCATTGTGGCACTGCTTGCCTGGGGAAGGACTGTAACTGTGGTCAGTGCTGAGCTGCTTGCAGTGTGGGATACTCAAAGGAACACCTCTGGCCTCGAGTATCAGCTCTGCAGGTTTCTGCTGATGAAATTCCCCCCTTTCAGTTTAGTATGTTGAGACTTGGATACTGTCCTTTCATGGGCTTCAGCTACTTCCTTCCCTTAAAGTTTTTAAGCCAAAGGAGTTTTCTTCCGAATGAGAAAATAAGAAAAAGTCTCCTTGAAGATTCTGTATCAGATTTTTGCTGACTCCCATTAGTCCACAGTCAGTAATGACAAAAATACAAATATTTTGCCTGTGGAGAAAAATAATTTTATTCCATTTTCCTTTCATTTCATGTTGTAATGGCTTACTCTGTCTGTAGTGCCCATCTGGGTTGAGTTTGCTTCTCTGCTGTTCAGCTGCGAGTGCTGCACACCCTGGCTGTTTGTTTGTGGAGTGACTGAAGTACATTGACCAAAAAGTTGACTGTGGTTACCTCCGTGCTGCAAAGCCAGGGATTAATTTACAGCAGCTCTTTGTTTTTGACTGGAATAATTTGCTCAGCAAATGAGAGGATTAAAGGCATTGCATTAAAAGTAGTAACAGTTTCTCTCTCTCCAAAGCCAAGTTGCAGCCCAAAGGTATTGACTTGGATGCCGCAGGGAATATAAATGGATTGCCTGTTATAGAAGTGGATTTGGATTCATTTGAAGACAAGCCGTGGAGGAAACCAGGTGGGGCCTCACAGTTGCTTGTGGTAAATATTTTCTGCAGTTTTGGTCGTCTCTCTTTAATTTCACATGTCATTTCTGTCCATTTGTTGTTGCCAGGGAACAGGGCAGCTGGAACAATGAGCGTTGCTCAGCCTCTGATGCCTGTCTAGACAATCAATGGCATTTTCTGATTGAACAAGCCATGCTCTCTCTAAAATTGGGTTGCATTTATTCTAGTAATTTAGCTAAAGGGAACAGCTGGTTTTTTAATGATCTGTTTTATTAATTCCCCAGTTCCAGAAAATATTGCACTGATACCAATCCAGTAATGTTTGTTGGCCCTAAAGGCAGCTGAGGAGGATCAGGATTTGGGTGTTGATTTGTGCTCTCCCTTTCCTGTGCAGAAGCTTGTTCTGTCTCCCAGAACAAGCCCAGAGTTGTCCCCATGTCCCCTCCTCATTTGGGTCCTGGGGCTGCCCACACCTACTGGTGTGAGGGAGATTCCCACTCCTGCAGGACAGCTGTACGATACCACAAATGAACTGCTGCTTTTCATCTGATACAAAAAGAACTGAAGGGACAGGAGGCCCAAAAGTTTGCTGTGCTGTTCATAAAATGTGCTCTGGTGAAATGTCACCTGAAACAAAAAGTCCTCAGAAATAATTGTTCTCCCTGCCCGCCCCTGTGTTTTATTTATCTGTCAGAACTCTTGCTGTGCTGAGTAAGTGGTGCTGTTCTAAGGATGTGTGTGGTGTGGTTTGGGTGTCTCTTGCCCACATGAAAGGCATCAGGGTGCAGACCAGAGCTAATAACTCTGTCAGGGTATCAAACCAGCCCTGAAGCTGCTCCCTGGGACAGAGCAAGTGCAGGCAGAACAGAACACGTAGCCTTTGTGCTGCAGGGATTTCCCTTGGTTGGGAGGTGAGAAAATGAGTTAGAAAGAATACAAAGGAGTTCAGAGGTAGAGCCTGGAGATGGCTGCGGCCATGCTGCCATCCCTGGACCAAACCAGACCCAGCTGGCCCTAAAACTCTGTGGGAAGAGGGTAGAGAGAAGGGAACTGCAGAGGTGTGTGGCCTGGATTTCTGTGAGATGGCAAGTGGCTTGTTACTCAACAGCCTTTCAAGTTTATATCCTTTACAGTTAATTGCTCAGCAAGTTGGGATCCCTTTGAGTGGGGGAGAGGAAGAATAAATCCTGTGTGGAGGAGCTGATAGGGGTCTGGAATAGAGGCTGATAAAGCAGATGAGTAAATGTGGTGTTGCTGAGTCGGTGTCTGTGCAATTTGCATGTTTGGGAGGTACAGCAGGAAGAGTGGCCTGCCTAGGAGATAAACTTAAACCTCACTGCTGAGACCTCACAGCTTAAACCACGCTCAGAGTGCTTTGCTGAGCCCTGTGTCTCACTCTTTGCTCTGGAAGGGTTGTCTGCAGGGATATCTTTGTGTGGGGGGTGTTTGAGGGACCCCTCAGCGGGGCAGGAGCTGCTTTGTAGTGCTTGCTGGGGGCAGGTGGGAGGAGTGCTCAGGGGGTTCCTGCAGCCAGGATTGTCCCTCTGCATCCTTGGCAAAGCAGGCTGTGACCACTCTGCTGGTGCTGAATGGGCACATTGCACAGGAGTCAGTGTGAGATAACAATCTTGGATGACTAATCAGGGTTGTGACTGCACTGTAATTACTTGTGCAGTCCAGGACATATCAATAAAAAACTTGCACTTTACGTGTCTTCCATGAAATGCGTGAGCCCCAGAATCTCCTCACAAAACAGCAAAGGTCAGGAAAGGAACGTGTGGGCCCAGCTCTGCCAAGAAAAAGGTTCTGTGACTCCATCCCATTTGTGTGCTGGGGGCTGGAACTGTCACTCCTGTGCTCTCCCCAGCCCTCAGCTCATGTGAACACTTGGAAGAAACCAGTCTGGAAGAATCAGGTTGGTGAAGAAGTGGTTGCAAGGTGCTGTGCTGTGTCCCAGGTGTCCCATGGTGTCCCCCTCCCACCCAGGGTTCTGCCCTGGTGGCCCCAGCAGATGGGGACAGTGCAGTGCACAGTCAGCTGGGCTCTCTAGGGAAAGCTGGGGTCTCTTAGCTCTCTATTGAAGCAGTTCAAGGGCAGTTGGAGGATCCCTGCAGAATCCCTGTGTAACTTCTGCTCCCTCTGGCAGGTGCTGATCTCTCTGATTACTTTAATTATGGATTCAATGAAGAGACGTGGAAGGCTTATTGTGAGAAGCAGCGGCGGCTGCAGCTGGGGCTGGACCCTGCTCCCCCCATCAGCACTGAGAACAAGATCACGGTGGGTGACATGTCCCTGCTGCTCCTGGCTCCAGGAAAACTGGCTCCTGGGGCTGGAACCACAGAGACAAGGGTTTGAAAGCAGAAAATGCCTCAATTCCAGACTGTTCTATGTTCTTTGAGTGATTGGAAATACAAAAATGAGTCTTTAGAGATTGCGTCTCTCAGCTGAAAATCTTTTCTCTAGGGCAGGGACAGTTCTGTCTGCCTGGCAGGTTTGAACCAGCACAGCAGCAAGACTGGAGGGAGTTTCCAGTTGACTTTGAGGCTCCCCAGCAATGGGGGTGTCTGGCTGGAAAATCCTGTGGATGAAGGAGGTGGAGAGAGGGGAGCTGGGCTTCCATGGCTGTTCTGCTCACTGCTGTGAGTGCTGCAGTTGTGTGGCTGCCCTCTGTGTTTGGAGGCTGCTCTGGCCATCAGCCTTTGCAGAGTCCATTGGTGGCCAACAGCTGGGAGCCAGAACCTCAGCCAAACTGTCAGCACAGCAAGTATGACGAGTTCCAGGGCTGGCTTAGGGACTACCTGAGAAGGGATATGAGATTGTTAAACCTGTGGACTTCCAAGAGGAGACAGTGGCCAGCAGGAAGGCTGGAATGGCCATTAGCTCACAGAAATGGCTGTGCCTTGACTGAGGAATAGGTGGCTTGTTGGCAAGAGCCCTGTGATTGTTCCTTTCCTTTTGCTGAGGGTTCTCTCTGGTGCCACATTCAGTGGAAAGGAAGAGCATTAAAGCTGTGTGTTAAATGTTGCCTTCCACAGGTTCAGCAGGGGAGGACAGGAAATGCTGAAAAAGAGGTGGAAAACAACATCATCAAAACAGAGTTCAAAACAGACTTTCTGGCTCTGGTGGGAGGAAGGATGAAGGCTGGGCCTCCTCCCAACAGGTGAGAGATGAACAAGTTCTTCCTGGGGACAGCTGGGATCCACCTGGGCCGTGTCTAACCTCCTCAGGCCTCAAACAGGAGCTTTTAAACTTCCCAGGAAGCTCTGTGATCACTGGCACCTTCAGCAGGGCAGCCCCTGCCTACCCATTCTGCTCTCTTGGTGCTGCTCCCAGTGCAGGGAGGGAATGCTGGATCCCAGCTGATGGCACAGTGTCTGGGAGCAGAGGCAGCGAGGCAAACCCCTCAGCTCTGAGGGCTTACCCTGTGACTGCTGGTGCTTGCCTGGCTGATTGCTGCTCCCACGATGCTAATCTTTGCTCCTGCAGTGGAAGTGGGTTTGGAGTTTGGCAGTGGATGAGAGGGGCTGTGTGTGTGACGCTGCTGGGCTGTGGTCACACAGCTGAGTCACTGAGGGGAGCCTCTGCTGGGGAAACCACCTGGCCCTTATCAACAGCTGCAGAACAAACAAAGCTGTGTGGAACCTGACAGGCCAGAGCTCTGGGCTCTGGGGGCTTCTCTTGCTTCATTCCCAAATCAGCTTCTGCACACCTGCCTTGCAGAAACCAGCCTGGCAGTGCAGCCCTACACTCAGTCTGAGAACCAGCTCTATGCTTCAAGTGTAAGCTCTAAAGCTCTGCTCAGCGTGTTGGCATTTGAGCACTGTGGGGCCATTTCTGTCCCAGTGTCAGTCCCTGTTATTACACCCATTTGTGGGGATTCTTTGGATCATATTTCTGGATGTTCAGAGACACCAGACTCAGCCCTGCTCGGAGTGAAGTTCCCAAAAGTGAGACCAGGCTTTCAATTTGCCTCTTGTCAATCTGAGTGCTGTCTCTGGAGATGTTTGCCTGTTGGGAGAGAATGCAGGGGAGAGGTCTGGGAAAATGGCTCCTTGTGATGTCTCTGAGCCTAAAAAGGTGCCTCTGCTTTGTTCCAGGAAGCTGGGCGGGACCATCGATGTGATCGGGGGCCAGGCAGGCACCATTCGCAGGGTGGAGGGAAGGCGTCGAGACAAGCACGCCTCGGAGGAGAACCCCATCCAGGTGAGGGTTTAGTGCTGCCCTGACACCCTCCTAACTCACTGCACTTGTGGTGAGCCCTGAGCAAAGTGCATTGCTGACCTCCCCAGTCCCAGTCCTGCCTGCAGAGCAGCGGGTGAGGTATGGACCCTACAGAGGTGTGTGCACAGGGCCTTCCCTCCTGCAGGCTCTGGGTTAAAAGCTTGGTCTTGCTAGGAGCCAGATTTGTCCTTTAAAGACTAGTCTTCCCTTCAGAATGGCAAGGCCTGAGTACCTTTCCTCATCAGCTCTCCCAGACTGTTCCTTGGGGTGTTCCTTGGGAGGCTCTTCTGTGGATCATTCCCTTCCCCTCCACTGTTGGGGTGGAATCTCCAGTTCTGCAGTGGAGGGTTTGTTCCTGGGGCTGGTGTTTCATTTTGCTTTGAAGTAGCATTTAGTCTCAGCATTATTTGGTGCAGGCCACACTTCAGACTGAGGCTGGGCCTGTGCTACTGGATCTTGTCCCTTGCAAGGAGTGAAAGCCTGGGGTATAAAACTGGTCTCAGTTCTGAGCTTGCATGCCCAGGGTATGACCATCATGTTCTGGTTGGCTTCTGTGTAGGATGCTGCTGTGTGCAGGGTTTGATGACCATCTGCCAAAAGCTCTTCTCTTAACTCTCTTCTTCCTACCAGCCACTTCCAACTCGCCAAGAAAAGCCAAACGTGGGACCTTCCCCTCTCTAGGCACAGTTCCTGGTTTTGTTTTTACATGTGGTTTTGTGGTCACTTTGTTTCTTGCCAACAAGAGGAGTTTGCCTGAGAGAAAGCCTTTGCTGGGCAGTGGTGGCTGTTCCTGGCCCTTACAAGCACCAAGAGCTGCATTTCCAGGTCCCTCAGGTGCCTCTGCAGATCAGTCACTCCTCCCAGTGCCACCCCCTGCCTGCTCTGCTGATGTGCTCCCTTCCTGCCAGCACTGGGGGGTCCCTGCTGCAGGAGCAATGGGATTAAAATGCTCTCTTCTCACTCCTCTGCCTTCTAAGGTCCTTGGAGACCACGGGAGCAAACCACAGCCTCCCCAGCAGCCCCAGCAGCCATCCCAGCCCCAGCAGCCTCCTCAGCAGCAGCCGTTCGCTCCACCAGCAGGGCCTCCGCCTCCCCCGCTCGCTGGGCCTCCTCCACCACACTTCCTGCACCCTCCTCCTCCAGTCACCTCTGTTCCACCTCCCCTGCACCCTCCAGGTACGTGCTCGCTCCCAGGAACGCCACTTGGGACGTCCCAGGCTCGGAGCAAGGCAGAGGTTTCGTGGTGAGGTGCTGTCAGGCAGCTGAGCAGGCAGGGAACAGCTTCTTAACTTGCCAGGCTTTGTTCAGTGACTCCATCAGCCTGTTCATCATCTGCCCTTGAATGCTTCAAAAATGGCAGCTGGTCCTTGAAAAAAAGCAGCTCTGGACTTTGTTTCCTTGAGAGAACCTCGCAGTGCTCCTGAGCCATTTGCTTTCCTGATGAATGGGAAGGAACGGGTTCCTCTGTCTCTGCAAGAAGTTGAGGATGTAGGAATTGCCCTCCTGGGTCAGATCAGCAGGTTGCTCAGGTCAGGATCCTCTCTGGCTCTTACTGATTGCAGGTGTTTCAAAGGTGATGCTGGAATTGGCAATTCTGCAACAGCAGCTGTAACAAATGACCGTTCAGGTGTTGATTGATTTATGCCTGGAAACACTGAGATCTGTACCTTTCTCTGTTGCTTTCTGTGCATTTTACTGTTCAGCTGCCTCTGCAGGGGGGTTCTGCTGCTCCCAGAGGAGTCCAGTGTCCAGTGCAGACCTCAGAGCAGGGCTTCATTTTCAGAACAAAATATCAACAGTGTAAATGGGTTTCTAGCACCAGGCAAATGGGGGAGAGAACAAAGAACCTTGCAGTGGAAAAGGCCAAATCTGCAGCATTTTCCAGGGGCTCAGGGTCATTTTTCTGTGCAGGTTTACAGATACATTGGCCATGGCCTAAGACACGTATTTCTGTCTTCACTTTTCACTGAATCTGTGCATCTTCTGATCCCACATGACTCCTGTCTGTGCCCCTGTTGCTTCTGGCTTAAGTAGTGCCAGGTTTAAGTGAATGGGGTCACACTCTGGGCTTCTGGCCAGGCTGCAGAGGAGGCACCAGGAGCAGCAACCCCTGTCTGAGGAGGATTCCTCCTGCACAACTCACTGCTACTTTTCCTGGTAACTTTTCCTACTGCCTTTTGTTAAAAGGATTGGCAAAATCCAGATGGACACACTGGATGGAGCCTGCAGCAGCGTCTCCTCTGGCCTGAGGTCCCAATCATTCACATGTTTTGACACTTAGAGAATGAATTCTCCAGTGTAAGAGGGCAGCAACATTTTAGATTATAACATAAAGGTAAAGAGGTATCATTGGAGAAAATAATGCAGTTTGTAGGGTAGTTCCTGCTTAAGAGCAGCAATTTTTCTGCTGCTGTTTGCTGCAGTGTGTGACATTTATTCCAAGTGTGCTTTGAGGCTTAGCTTGAGGCACAGGGGTGCCAGGAGGCACAGAGGTGCCATGCTTTCCCTGTTGTCCTCACTTGTTTTCCTTGCTGATTTCCACAGGCCTGCCACCTCCAGGTCCCATTCCAGGTAGGTGTTATTACCTTGCTTCCAATAACAGCAGCAATTCTGAACACACAATGGCCCTCCTGGGCATTTGGACTGAGTGACATGAGATGGGAGGGCACCAGCTCAGGGCAGAGTTCATTTAAGACTAATTAACTCCAATGCAGTGTTGAACTCGAGCTGCTTACCTTGTATTCTGGACCTAAAGGTTCATCTGTAAGGCTTCTAAACTCTGTCTTGTTTTGTCTCTGATGACCATTCAAAACAGTGAAATGGAGGAGTTGACATGGCAAAAGCCACTTTGAAATGGTTTAGTTCTTGGCATTCCTTCCTACAGGAATTGGGGGTGTGAGACTGAGCAGAACAAGTGCCATTTCCAGCAGAGGCCTTTGCAGAGATGCTGAAAACTGAGAAAAAAATGTAACAACTAATCTTGTGTATAAGTCAGGAAGCCCCTAATTCAGAGCTGCTGGACTCCCTAATCCAGGACTGAGTTCTTTTGAGCTGTAATTTCTTTTTTCTACTGGAAATTTTGGCCTTGAAACCAGAGTTAGCTGCAGGTAGAGCAGAGCAATAGGTGTGAGCAGGTGCTATCCCTCTGAAAATCCAGGGCTGACAGTGAATTCTGTGCTTTGGAAGGGACAAAGTTACTCATTTGAGTGAATGGAGCGATAAAACCTTTGTAATTGTGACAGAGCTGCATCCCAAACCCCACTTGTCTTCCAGAGGACTATAAGGGTTAATCTTTACTCCTTGGTGACTCTTATGGTTAAGATTTACAAGCCAAAACAAGGCAGTTTTTCCTTTGTTTTTCTTCCCATACCCCCCAGAACTAACACAGCTGTCGGGTTTGAATTTTGGGAGGAGATACAGCCCTAAAGGAAAGTGATCCCATTTCAAACAAGGCCTTGTTTAGAGTAAAGGTGCTTTCACTGCAGTGAGCAGCACTGAAGTGTGGCACAAGCTGGGACTCTGTGCTGACATCACCCTTCTGTGTTTAGGGCTGTTCCCGCCACCCCTGGCACCGCCACCAGCTCTTCTCATCCCAACCCTGGATGGGTAAGGACACACCTGGGCTGAGCCGGGGCTGCAGCTCCCCTGGAGTGAGCAGGGGAGGAGAAAAGGTTAAAAAGCAGTGCCAGTGATTCAGGGCCTGGCCTGGGGTTGGGGTGGGGGTGAGAGCAGAGTCCCTCAGGAACCCTCTGCGCGTTTGTTTTGATCACGTTCAGGGCACAGGAAGGAGTCCATACAATCCAGGCAAAATCTGGGGTAGCTGCTGCCAGGTTTTGTTACTGTAAAGGTTCTCCAGGTGGTTTGGGAGCAGGGGTGCTTTCCCAGGGAGCCTGGCTGGGGTGAAGCAGGGCAGGCAGTGGGTTCTGGAATGTTTGGGAGCCGTGGCAAAGCCCCTGCTCCCGTGTGCGTTTCTGGTGGGGGGGGTTCCCATGAGGATGTTCCACAGACCTCCAGAAAGAACGGGGTGACCCTGCAGCACAGACATCCCTGCAGGGACTCACTGGTGTTGGTAACTCCTCCTTCTCTCTCCCCCAGCCAGCCAGCCAGCTACAACAACAGGCAGCCACCTCCCTTTGGCTACAACTCCGCAGGTGAGCACTGCCCAGAACACTGACTGCTGCTGTCTCCTCTGGGCCTTGGCAGTGCAGAGCTGACAGGCAGCAGGTTTGCTTTAACTTAAGGCTCTTGCTCGTGCCCCAGATGACTCCAGTGTGTAGGAACACCCCCTGTGTGACTGCACTGGACAGTGCTTGGAGAGCTGAATGTTGTGCAGTTTTGTGGCTGAGTGCTGGGGCTCAGATCAGCTTTCAGCACCAGAGGAGCTCCCCCAGGTGCCTCAGCCCTGTGTCCTGGTGCCTGTTTGCACACAGAGGTGCTCTCCCTCACTCACACTCTCTCCCTTTTCCCCACCCTCAGGGACACAAGCACAGCCATCCACAACTACCAGCTTGGCATCTCCTCCCTGAGCTTTTGAATCCCTCCTTGCCCACTTCCCCCTCTGCCTCGCCTGCAGGCACCATCTCCTCTGGTTTTGTGCTGGCAGAGGCAGTGCCAGGATTGGAGTAGAGCCCCTGCCTGGCAGCAGTGCCCTGTCCTCTCCCAGAACTCGCAGTGGCCTCTCCTGGCCGTGCTGAGCAGGTGGAAGCTCCAGTGTCTCCCTGCAGGATGGGGTTGGAGCAGTTCCAGTCCCTCCTGAGCAGCAGGAGCCTGCAGTGCTGCCAGATGTGCAGCAGCTGGCCCTGCTTTGGGATACCCCCTTGCTGGAGCAGCCCAGCACCGGCATGGGAAGCACTGGTGGCTCTGGGCTCGTCAGGTGACATCCTTCATTAACAGCTGGTGGCCATGGCCCTCCCCAGGTGCCACCTTAGACCAGAAGGTGCCTGGTGAGAGGTGAGGTCTTGGACAGGTGGCCAAGAGCCCAGGGCTGGCAGAGGTTGTGCAGCACTGCCTGTGAATCCCTGCTCTTGCTGTGTCTGCCTCGGGAAATGCTGTTCTGCTGGGAGGGACAGGGGGAGCACAGGAGGGGCCATGGTGTCCTTGGATCCAGCTCTGCTGCCAGAGGGGACCTTTGGAAGGGGAGGGACAGGGGCTGCTTAGATGAGCAAGGCTTCTGCTCTCCTGCAGATTCAGGTTTCATCAGCTACCCACCCATCTCCACGTCCCACACGCCCTGGGTGACCACGGTGGACAAGGGCACGAGCAGCTCCAGCAGCAGCCACTGGGAGTACTCGGGCTCCAGGCGGGACAGGGAGCGGGACCGGGAGCGGGACCGGGAGAGGGAGCGAGACCGGGACCGGGACCGCACCCCCACCACCAGTGAATACAACAAGTGAGTGCTGCTGCCCCTCCTGTCCCCAGAGCCACACAGGGCTTGGGATTGGGGATGGGACCAGTGGAATTCTCTGAAACGTCTGGGGAAGAGATACCTTGGATCAGTGACTGGAGGACAGACCAGGAGCTGGTGTCACTGGCTGGTGTCACTGGCTGATTTCCTGTGTCGGAGGTTCTTTGTTTAAATCCAGCAGAACCAGTTCCTCTTGCCCTCCCACCAGGCCAGTAAATGACACAGCCCCTCTGTGTTTACTCGGGGTTTCACAGCTCCCTGTGAAGTGTTGGCTGCAGGAGCTGCTGCTTCTTGTCCTCTAAATGTCCCTGTCAGATCAAAGGACAGACACCCTGCCCTGCTCTGCTCTCCTGGGCAGGCTTTGGGGCAGGGAGTGCCACTGCCTGGGAGCAGCCTGGGAGACCCCCTGGGTGGGAAGTGCTGTGACCCAGGGTGGCAGCAGTGCTGGGAGCACTGGAGGAAGGACAGGAGGCTTGGCTGGAGCCTCCCTGAGGTGGAGGCAGCACAGGCTCCTAAACCAAACCCATCGCTTGGCTGTTCAGTCCCCAGCAGTGCCAGTGCTCTGCAGGCCCAGAAATGCCAATAATCATTCAAAACATGATCAGAATGTGCATTCCTGGCACGAGGTGCTTCCTGCTGGGGACCTCCCCAGCCCAGGGAGGGAGCAGGCAGGGCAGCCTGTTCCTAAGCTTTTTCCTTTCACTTTATTTTTATTTTTTTAGCTTATGAGCTTGTGGTCACCATGGGTGGGAGGGGCAGGAACACAACAGATGGCAAACTTGCTGAAGTGGGAAGAGCTCAGACTCCCCCACTGCCTGAGCAGGTCTTTGGGCAGCCAAGGCCTGGGATCAGCTCTCCTGGGCACATGGCTGGCATTTCTGGGTGCTGAGGAGCCCTCTGGAGCCGAGATCACGCCTGGCAAGGCAGGATGAGTGGCAGTGCTCAGTGCACTCCTTGGGAGCACTCCCAGATCATTGATCTTGGGCGTTTGTTTGTCCAGCCTGTTCCCAGCAGCGTCAGGACAATGTTTGGACTTCCTCTCTGTCAGAGTCTGAAGATTGTTTCCCACAGAGGGACCTGTTAACCCTTCACATTTTGGCTTTCAGAAGCTGCCCGTGGACTGTGGGATGTCGAGGGAAGGGGATGGGGGATGTGTCTTATTTGGGGGTACCTCGTGCCTGCTCCTGCATGGGATGGGATGGGATGCTTTGAGCAGGTGGAGAGGTGCAGGCAGAAGAACCACCTCAGCTTTGCTCACAGAAGAAAACTCCGAGAAAAGAGTCCATTGGTCCAACTCAGAGAAAAGAGTTCCAGGTTTTCTGGGGTGTCGGTGTGGGGAGGGAAAACCCAGCAGCAGGGGAAGCAGAGTGGTGAGAGGAGCCTCTTCGTGTTGCTTTCCTGGAGCAGTTTTTTTCAGGAGCACCCCCGGTTGCTGTCGGTACCGCTAGAGGTGCCAGGTGCCGGTGAGGAGGGTCGGTGCGGGACGGGGAGCGTGTTCTGTGCCTCACTTGGCTCTCTGCCCCCAGTGACGACGAGCGGTACCGCTACTACAGCCGGGAGCGCAGCTACGACTTCGAGCGCGACTATCGGCGGAGCCGCGACCGCAGCCGCGAGAGGGAGGACCGGCACCGCGAGCGCCGCCACCGCGACAAGGACGAGAGCTCCAAGCACAAATCCTCCCGCCGGTGAGGCCTGCGGTGGGCTGGGGGCACGGGAACGCTCCTGGCTGCTGACAGGAGCTGGGTGTTCTCGGGGCCAGTGTCACCCTGGGCTATCCTGGGAGCTGCTGGTGGCCCCAGAGGCGAGGGAGGCCCCAGGTGAGGGAAGGAGCCTTGGGCAGGAGGGAACACCTGTGACAGGAGAGGAGCCCTCAGTGCTTGTGAGTTCTCAGAGAGGCAGCACTGAGGGAGGGAGGAGGGGTGGCCTGTGCTCAGCATCCCAGCAGGGCAGGGCAGGGCAGGGCAGGGCAGCTCCCACCCCCAGCAAAGGGACAACAAAGGGGAGTGCAAAACCACAAGAGGAGCATCAGCTCTGGGTCCTGTTGCTCTTGTGCACAGGGCAGAGCTCTGTGCCTGACAGTGGGGCTGGGGATGGGCTGCACAGAGGAGAGACACTCCTGAGGCACAGCCAGATGTCCTGAAATCCCAGTTTTTCTGGAGAAAGTGTGTTGGCAACAGATGATCTTCCTGGGAGAGCAGTGTTCTATCAAAGCAGCAGTGCTGCTCCCTGGGCTGAGGCAGGTTCTGTGCCCTGGTCCTGGGTCACTTCACTCCTGGGAATGGATGGAGCAGACTTGTTCTTGCTCCTTTGGCTTGGTGCTCCAACTTCTTTCTTTTGGATGAAATTGGGGTCAGCTCTGTGGGTAGTGACCCTGATTTTGAAATTGGTATCACAGAAGCTCCTGCACAGTGATGGAGGTAACAGGCTGTTCTGATCCTTAAGGAGATGAGGAAGTTTTCAAGGACTGATGGCTGAAGGGGTGGGAAGAAGGGCCAGGACCAGCTGAATTTGTTCTGAATACAGAGCAAAGGGAAGCTGGGCTGGCACCAGATGAACAGGCCAGTGGCTTTAGGGGATATTTCTCAGCTTCCTGCACTCAGAATTGAAACCTTGTAGTAGATACCTCACTGTGGAAATCCCTACCCATGGCAGGGGGGTTGGAATTTGATGATCTTAAAGGTCCCTTCCAACCCAAACCATTCTGGGATTCCGTGATCAGGGTGGAATTCACCAGAGCAGGGGTGGATCTGCTTGAGAGCTCCATGTGCAGATTCTGGGCTGGGGCACAAGGTGAGAACCAGGAGACTTTGCTCCCTGAAGCACACACAGATGCTCCCCCTGGCTCAAGGCACTGGGCTGAGCAGTGTGTGAGCTCAAGAAAAGGGAGCAATACTGTGTTCAAGGCCACTTGGGCTGCGTGTCAGAGTCCCTGCTTGAGGCACACTGAGCTCTGAGCCTGGGCAGGTGTCTGCAGGCACAGGAAAGGCTCCAGCTGCAGTTCCCAGCTCCCAGCAAAGCGCCCAGTCTGCAGGAAATCACCCACGCTGGTTCCAGTATTAAAGGCCATCCCATTGTCCCAGCACAGCCCACTGACACATTGTCCACGGGGTGGCTGAAGGTGTTGATTTTTTCCTTTTATTTTTCCCCCTTTAATGACTATGAAACCATTCATTAAAGTAGTCAGAAAGTTCCTTGAAGCCAGGAGCTTTTCAGCCAGGTTCAGCCAGTTGGGTGTCTGTGCTGCCAAACTGGTGTTCCAGCCGTGTCAGGGTTTGTCTCTGGCCTGACACTGTCCCCACCCGTGGGGCTGTGCCTGCACTGGGATGTTCATCTGCATTTCCCTGCTCTGTGATTGTTTTACCTCTGCCCCCTCACCCCACGCTCAGCTCTCAAGAGCTCACCTGGTTTTCAGCCTGTGAGGAGAAACAATTGTGTGTTGGAGAAGTGGCAGCAAATCTCCTCCCAGGAGGGGCCAGGGCACAGCTCCCACCTTCCCACCTGCCCTGATGGGAGGCAGAGCTGCTCCCAGGGCCCACTCAGAGCCCCTCCAGGACTCCTCCCACATCAGAGATCCTGTGCCAACAATCCCAGCTATGCACCTGCATCAGGAAAATGGGTGAGGAGATAGAGGAGTGGTGGAGGATGGAGCCAGTGAAGAGCCAGGTCGTGTGTGAGTGAGCAGAGGCAGAAACAGGATCTGCCCCCACATTTCTCTCGCTCCATTGATCCCCTTCTTGGCTCAAGTCCCAGGATGTCCCTCAGGTGTTCAGAGGAGTGAAAGTTCCAAACAGCTCTCGAGTGAGGGCTCCCCCTCCCCTCAGCCCCCCGAGCTGTGCTGGCACTGCTGGAGCTCCATGGGGTGTCCCCACAGAGCCGCTCGGCTGTGCCACTGCCACGGGTGGTGTGGGCACAACCGTGGGCTCAGCTCAGCCCAGGCACGGCTGGCCCTGGCCCTGCAGTCCCTGCCGTGTCCCTGTCCCTGCAGTCCCTGCCGTGTCCCTGGCCCTGCAGTCCCTGCCGTGTCCCTGTCCCTGCAGTCCCTGCCGTGTCCCTGGCCCTGCAGTCCCTGCCGTGTCCCTGGCCCTGCAGTGCCTCCCGTGTGGCACAGGCAGCTGTCACTTGTCCCCTCTGTTCCCCACAGGAAGCAGCACGAGAGCGAGGAGGGGGAGAGTCACCGGCGCCACAAGCACAAAAAGAACAAGCGGAGCAAGGAGGAGAAGGAGGCCAGCGAGGACGGGGCCCAGGAGGGAGAGGAGCAGGACACCAAGGAGTGAGCAGCCCCCTGGGCAGGAGCCGCTCCTGTGCCCCCAGCCTGGCACTGCTGAGGTTTGGGGTGGGGGGTGATTTTTTTTTTTTTATTATTTTTTACTTTTTCCAAGGGAAGAGGCGGACGGGGAGCCCTGGCATGGCACAGGGCTCGGGGAGCTGAGGCTGCACGTGCCCTTAAACTTCCTTTTTTGTTGTTTTTTGTTTTTGATACGAGACAATACAGCAGTACTAGTTACAAAGCACTGAGCTACTCTACTCATACACATCCCTAGGGAGGACTTTGGTGTATCAGATCCTATGGTTTCTGATGGAAGATGGCTTCAGCTGAAACTAACACAATTAGGTCATAGCTTTCCGTTCCTTTTTGTCATCATCATTCCTTTCTTCAATAGGACAGTAAGTGCAACTTGAAATTTATTGTCCAAAGACCAGTGTGACTTAGACCCCGAGAGCCAGCTTAGAGTCTGGTGTGGTAGTGAAGAGTCTCATCCCCAATAAATTCCTTTCTAGCTGCAGAAAGAGCCTCTGGTTTCTCCGTGGCAGAGGAGCTGCAGGGGCTGCTCTGCCTGACACTCACCCAGCATGGGCAGAGAGCCCAAAACTCGCTTTGCTCCCCCTTGCAAAGGCAGTTCTGCCGTGTTACACCTCGGAGGGGAATCCAGGAAGACCTGCAGTAAGAGTTTCTCTTGAATTCCTTCTGCCTTGCCTGTTTTGTTTCCTTTTTTCCCCTGAGTTGAGCTGAATGACCCAGGGCAGCAGAGAGCACCAAGTCCCAGCAGTTTGCCCTCGTGGGGTTGGCATTTCTATTTGGGTATCACCGACACTCCTGCCCGTGAATTCCTTCCCCCAGATCCCAAAATAAATTTAGTCGAATTCCAAAGTTTCTTTGGACTTAGTATTGGTTGGGGAGAGGGGCAACAGAGATGTTTGTGGGTGGGGAGAACAGGGGAGATAATTTTAGGGGTTTTGGTCCTTAGGATCCTGCCCTTCAGTTTGTGTGAGTCCACAAGTGTCTCATTTTTCTTTGACTTGTTATTTAAGACTGTCTTTAAATATTTGTCCTAAAATAATATGGTTCTGAAATGTTCTGTATATTTTGGTATTGTAACCTTGCAAGTGTGAGTGTGCTGTGACCTGAGCCAGGAGAGCCCTCTGGGAATGGTGACAGTGGATGAGTCCTGAACTGCAGAGCCTGGGGGGCAGGGCAAGACCTGGGGGCTCTCTTGGGTTTTGTTTTTTCTGGAGGTTTTTTCATGTGCTTTGAGGTCATGGGAAGTGTGTGTGGCCTGACCCAGGATGGGGGAAGGGCCTGGAATGGGGCTGGAGCCCCAGCACAGCCCCAGGGCTTGGGAACAGGTGTCTGATGGGCAGCACAGGACAGGTGGGGGTAACCCAAGCAAGGAATCCCATCTGCTGGCACTGGGGGGGACCAAGGGCAGTCCTGGAGGTCAGCTGGGAGTGCCCAGGAGCTTGGGAGGAACCGAGTTCTATCCAGTCACAGGAGCATGGAATCCCTGGGTTGGGAAAGGCCTCTGAGCTGTCACCACCTTGTCAGCCAGACCAGGCACTGCTGAGGGGGCAGAGGGGAAACCACAGCCAGCCTGCTGAGGACTCAGGAGTGCCTGCTCTGTGCCCCCCCTGGGCAGGGCAGTGCCCAGGGGAGAGGGCCCAGCACCCCTGCCCTGGCTCCACAAGAGCCTGCATTTGGGAATTGTGAGATGTGGCGGTTGTTTCCTGGCACTGAACTCTGCTGGAGCAGGGCAGCAGTGCCAGGGGCTGGGGCAGTGCCCCCAGCCTGCTCTGGGCTGCTCAGAGGTGCTGGCACGGCCTGTTCTCCAGGGAGGGGACCGTGAGTGCCACGGGGCTGTTCCACAGCCCTGGGCTCCTGCTCTGCCTGGGGAGGTGACAGAAACCACTGCTGGGACAGACAATTCCTGGTGGTCACATCCCTCTGCAGCAGGGAGAGGGGGAATCCTGCAGGGATGAGTTACTGAGGGAGCTGGACCTCCTGCACTGCTGGGAGCAGGCTGGTGCCAGGGGCAGCTGGGAAGGTAAGGGTTTAATTGGTTTGTTTGAATTAGACAAATAGAGGTCAAATGCTTGCCCTTAACACCGGGGAAATGTAAAGGTGGGTGTTGGAGATGGTCTTTGCTGTGGTTTGATGTGGGGTTATGGTTGGTCAGGGTTTTTTTTTCCAGCCCCAGGGTATTTCAGGACAGTCCAGCTCCTTTCCTGGGAGCAGCAGAAGAAAACTCCACATTTCCTGCCTCTCAGAGCAGTGTCTTGGTGAGGTCACCTATTCAGGGGCCATTAACTGATACACTGGAAAGAAAAGTGACAACCACACCTATGACACATTTTTCAGCAATATTACAATAATTTATAAAGGCATCAAAACAAATTCAACATCTATTAACAAGCTGATTTTGGAAACAAAATTTAAATTATGAGGACATTTTGGTGAAGTTGAAGGCACCTTGGAAGGAGGTGGAGTAACAGTAAAATCCTTCTGCAGCTCCTGCTCCCTCCCCTTGCCCAGCAGCGTTTCCTCCTGCCTGTCAGCCCCTGGCACAGGTGCAGGCAGGAGGAGCTGCCCTCTCCGTACACCAATATTTACTGTTCCACCCCAGGCACAGGTTCTGCACGTTGATTGCAAAGAGACAAAACGTTGCTTCGGGGTTTTGTGTTCTTTGTGTCCGAGCAAAGGTCGAGGAGGAGTTTCCTGCGTGGCTGATTTTGCTCTCAGTGTTCAGGGGGAACAGGAACGAGGCCCAGGGAGCCCGTGCTGTCAGTGCCAGTGTTTGGGAGGCAGAGGGTGTTTGGGGGCTGCATCCTGCAGTGGTGCTGGGTGCTGGCCCTGCCTGCAGCTCCAGGGGCCAGGCCCTCTGCAGGGGCACTGCAGGGAGCTGAATGTTCCTCCCAGGCTTGTTCTGCCAGGGGGGACTCCTGATTCTTCCAGAGCTGCTCCTGGAAAAGGTGCAGCAGAGGCAGCAGGAGAGGAGAGATCTCTGAGTGCAGCCCAGTCTGAGAAGGACCTGTCACTGCTCCTGCTCCCCACGGACCTGCTGGCAGAGGAGGAGCTGCTGCAGGTGGAGCTGCAGGGAGGAAGGTGGCAGGGTGTCAGGACAGCCCCTGCTCCAGCCCTGCAGGGAAATTCTCCCTGTGCAGAGGGGCTGACCTGAAGCCAGGCCGGGCACTGCCCTGGAGGGATTTCCTGCTGCCCTGGGCACAAATGGCTGAGGAGCAACGACCCTGGAGCTTCCCTGGCCCAGCGAGTTGGGGTTTGGCTCCAGCTGCGAGGGGGGCACAAACAGAACTGCAGGAGCAAATCTGCCCTCCCTGACAGGGCAGGGGCTCCTCCCCCTGCCTGAATCTCTGGTCACTGGGAATCGATGAAGGAAAGCCAGGCACTGACAGAATCCCAGACAACCTGCTGGGACACGGAGCCTGTTTCATCACCTGCCTTCTGGGGGAAAAGCTGCTTTTATCAAGTCATAAAACCAGGGAATCTTCTCTGTGAGCCCTGCCATCGCCCTCTGCTGCAGTCACACTCTGCAACATCACGTCAGTGAAATCACTTTGCTGCTCCCTGGGACGGGGGTTCTTTATGCAGTTTAAATTGTCCATTTGCAATAAATCAGTGGAGTTGGCAGGATCCTAAACCAGGATCTGTGACAGGACAGCTCCACCATCCTGCCCCAGCAGCTCTTCAGGTGCCAGCTGAGTTACCGTTGGTTTTTGTAGTGTATTAACACAGTCCTTGGGTTACTGAAACCTGAAAACATCAAGAGTGGGTCTCTGTTCCTACAGGTTGATTTATTAGCAGCTTCTAAAAGCCACTGGTTTAACCTGATCAAAATAGGAAAAGGAAAGCTGAGCCCTAAGATGAAGGGAAGTGCCTCCACAGCCTCCAAGGCAGGTTGTGAGAAACCCTGGGAAGAGCTTCCTCTGCCACAGCAGCCTAAGGAGCTTCAATGAGCCTGGGAAGCTGCAGCTGTGGGATTAACTATTCGTGGAGTTCAGCAGCCGGCTGTGGTGCCACCCTCGGCACAGGACAACGTTTTCCACGGGAAGGAAGCAAAGAGCCCTCCCTGGCACTGCCCTGGAGCAGGAGTGGAGCAGGCCCTGGGCTCGTGTGGCACTGTGGTGGCAGCTGGTCCCTGCAGGTGGTGCTGGTCGCTGTCACACGAGGCTCCCTGGCCAGGACACCACGGTCAGGGTGACTTTGTTGCGCTGCTCCTTCAGCATCGGGATCAGCTCCGCGTTGCTCATCCCGATGGCCGGGACTCCGTTCACAGCCACGATCTCATCTCCACACCTGGGAGCACAGGACAGGCTGGGCAGGCTGAGGAACCAGCAACTGCAGCCACAGCCTCGGATCACCCCCTGAGCCACGGGCACCTGACTTGTTCCCTTGTGAGTGCGGGAAGGGCAGGGCAGGACAGGACAGGACAGGACAGGGACAGGGCACTGCTGGGGACAGAGGGGACGGCCCAGGAGCACGGCCAGGGCAGGGACAGCAGAGCAGGTTTGTGCAGCACGGGCAGGTTTGTGCTGTTCACACTCCTGAGCCAGGCCAGTCCTGCAGGTCAGGCACAGTGCCCCAGCGGGGTGCTCTGCAGGCTGGAGCTGGACTGGCACCCTGCAGCTCGGGACAACAGGGCATCCTATGGGATCTGCCCCTCTGGCACAGCAGCACCTCCAGAGGGCTGGGAGGTGCTGGAACCTCACCCTGGGTCTGATGGGGAGACACATCCCTGTCCTGGCACCCCCACAGGAGCCCCCTGAGCCCAGTCCTCCCAGCACAGCTCTGAGGGGAGCACAGCCCAGCTCCCTCCACCCAAAGCATGTCCCTGCAAAGACCAGCCCAGCCTCTGTCCTTTCCAGTCCTGCACTTGCAGCCTGTGGGGACCCAGCTCCTGCTTCCCAGGGATAGCACCGGGGCTCCTGCAGCTCCACTCCTCCCCTCTGGCATTTCTCACTCACAAACAGCTCAGCAAAGCTCCATTTAAGTTTCCTTTTGTTGCTTCTCTTGGGATACTTCTCCTAATCCAAGAGATATTATATTCTAGAACCTCCAAGATTCATCTCAAACGTCCCCTTCCTACTTTTCCCTAATTACTCAGTTAAGACCTTTACAGTCCTTTAAAACCAGCTGTTAATTCCTTTTCATTGCACCTTTATGGAGGAACCAAAATGCTCCTTAATACAGGCCTTGGTTTGTTACAAGTTTGGCATCAGCATTAACTGCCCAGCTGAGTGTGTAGGAATTCCAGTCCTTAACTTTTAGCTGGGCTGGTCACAAGGGGCAAAGGGAAAACCCCGGGACTGTTTGTGCTGCCCCTGGGGAGTTCACACCTACTTGAGTTTCCTGTCTCGGAATGCCGGAGTGCCGGGCACGATGGTTTTGATGAAGAAGGGCTGGTTTCCTTTGCTCTCCTCAAAGCCCCCAACGATGCTGAAGCCCCAGCTCTCCAGGTTGCCTTTACTCAGGACGATGTCCTGGCAGAAG